CTCAGTCGACTTGCCTTTTCAAGGCGCGAAGCGTTTCAACCATGTTATGACGTATTGTCGCTTTGCTGTTGCCTCCTACGATGCACACCATCTATTTGACACTCTCCCTCTCTTTTCTGCAGTCTGAGTTCGAGAAGCCGAAATCTCAAGAGCAGCAGAAGACAACAGTTCCTGTCGCTTTCTTTCAAGGGACTCGATCATCATGTTTCTTGCTGCGACTACTACGCTCAAACTCATGTCTCATCTCGGGCAATGGAGCTACCGAATTATTATATCCGTGGCCTCTCTCAATATCTGAGACATATTTCGGCTCTTGGAAGATCGGAACTCTGAAATTGCGAACGACACAAAAACTTGCAGAACACACGCTCGATCTGGCAACAATGAGGCAGTATCTTACATTCGACGCTCCTGGTCTCCCACTCTTCGTCAGACCCCTCAGGATGACCTTCTAATCTGGTCAATACGGACCACATCTCCATTCCACGGAGTGACTTGCGGTCCGTGGATGCGCTCAGTGTCTGAGACAGCTGCTTCCCCGCGGTTGCATATAAGGCGGGCCCGCCCCATCTCCTCAATATCGCTGCTTTCACCGAAACAACCATCTGCACTCAGATCCTCAAGCATTTCTCAAGCTCAATCATGTTCACTCTCAAAGATTCTCTCCTGTATGTGCACATCACATCGAGTATACTCCCGGATGTTGACCGACTGCATTGTTTGTAGGTTTCTGTCCCCCCGTCACCGACTTCGACTTCCTCAACCGCATCGGCACCGGCCGCTCGGCCACCGTTCACTGGTCCAGCACAAGGTCACTGGCCGCCGTTTTGCGTGAAAGCTGTCGAGCGCGCTTCCGGATCGGCGTCCGCCGTCAACGAGCAGGCCATCCTGAAGCCATTTCCGTGTCCAGCGGCAAGTCGGTTTCTCCCTCCCTGCTCTCGTTGCATGCGAGTTGGGAGGACGACACTCGTTCGTATATGCTCTCGGTAAGTGCCGGCTCGGTCTCTCCTGTCTCATAATGTCTGAGACATGTGTACGCAGGAGTGGTGCCCCGGTCGTGACCTCAGCCCATGTCTCGTCAACGGACACAGCGCTGGGGTGCCTTCCCCGCTGCTCACATCCGCTTCATCGTCGCTCAATTGGTGGGCTTCATCTTACTCCAGTCTTGACTGTGTGACATGATGTCAGGTCACGGCGCTCGAGTCTCTCCATGCTCAGCACATCGTTCACCGCAACCTCAAGCCCGCCCACATCTTCTTCACTGAAGACGGCAACATCGTCCTCGGTGGCCTTTCTCTCGCCAAGCACCTGCCCGGGTCCTTCATGCACGGCAACGACGAGCCTGCTGAGATTGTCTTTGATGTCGCGGCGGACGCAGACTGTGGATCGTTCTTCCAGCAGACCATGGACGAGGTAGTCGGTGTCACCAGAGAGCGGTGCGGAACCCCAGGTTACATGGCACCCGCACAGGTCCAGGGCACGCCGTACAGTTTCGATGCTGATCTCTTCGCGTTGGGGGTAATCGCTCATCAACTGGCAACGGGAGCTGTAAGTTTCTTGATGGGTGCTTCTGCTGTCTCTGACGCCTTGAAACCACCAGATGCCTTCGTCTGAGTCACCGGAACTCCTCGCGACTGTCGATGTCGACCTCAAAGCGGTCATTCAGGGCCTTCTCGACCACAATCGCGAGACTCGGCTCACGCTCGCACAGCTCAAGGAGCACCGCTACTTCACCGGCGTCAACTGGAAGAAGGTGGCCCGTCACCAGGTCCCTGCTCCCTGGGTTCCCGTCGCTGCCGAGGTTCCGTCCACGATTCGCGTCTGCCCGTTCCCAGCTGCGATGTCTCGCTCGGATAGCTCCTTCGACTTCGTCTCTCGGTCGTTCGCCAGCCCCAGCGCGGATTACGTTGCCTCATGCGCAAATTCGTGTCTGAGAAGCCCCAGCCCCAGCCTGTCGCCCCAGTGGTCGTTGCTGCCTCGGTGGTCGACGTCCCGCTAGTCCGGCCTTCTGCTCCTGCTGTGGTCGTCGCCGCTCCCGTTGCTGGTTCCTGCGTCGGAGTTCCTTTGGCCGCCCCCGTCCCGAAAGTCGCCAAGCCCGTCTTGCCCGTCTGTGCGCTCATCGAGGCCTCGCTCGACATGGCATCCCCCAAGCCGGCGGCCTTCTCTCGACTTTGGTACTCCGCGACGAGTGAGAAGATCGCAGCGTTGCAGGCGTCCGAGAGTTCTTCGACCTGCGCCACCAACTGGTCCCAGGACAGCTTCGACTCGGTTGCCGGTGCCAACATCCAGCGCATTCTCGAAGATCGTTTCGGGCCGACAGAGACGATCCCAGCGTTGCCTGAGTCCGCGAGCAGCTCTTCTACGGCTAGCGACGCGTCTGCAGACAGCTTCGACTCCAGGGCGGGCGCCAACATCCAGCGCATCCTCCAAGATCGATTCGGTGCAACGCTCAAGTCGGCCGCGTTGTCCCCTCCGGCTACCGACACCGACACCGACAGTTCATCAGACAGCGATTCGTTCCGTAGCAGCATCGTCTCGGATGACTCTTGGTCGGCAGACAGATCCCCAGCAGAGCAGCAGCAGCAGCAGGGTGGTCTTCGGAGGATGCCAGCTTCTTCGTCGCTCTTCAGGATGTTCTCAGGTTGGACGCGGTCCCGATCCAGCCGTGCGCTTGCTTTGGCCCCCGTGTCGTTGGCGTGTTGATTCGTGTTTCTCTCGTGTTTCGACTGTTTTCGTGTTTTCGTCCGACCGATCTCCGCCCTTTTTCTGTATCGCCCGCACTGGTTGTTGGGCACGAGCCTACTCGTGTTTCTTCGTCTTCGCCCCGATATGGCTGGCCTATTTCGCCCTATAATGCGTGGGATCCGCTGGATGGATCGTTTTTATTGGATACCAGGATAAAGTAATAGAAAAATACCACATAGAGATCATACCTCTGTAATGTGCAGCGGACCAAAAAACCTAATTGGAGATCGGTCAAACTTGGTGCACTGCACGGCTCGAGTTAGATGTGCGATAATCAGATAACGATCGAATGATCGAGTCGATCGCTCAAATGGACTTGGACTTGGACGGCGACTCTCCCTGGAACGAGGACGCCACGCACGAGAGCGCCAGAGAAAATGAATGGACGAAGATCTCAAACGACTTCACCAACGTGCATGCTTTTTCCACCTTGCATCCCATAACCCGATGCTCAAAAACTTCGGTAGACGGGCTATCGAGAAGGAATAACAGCCGGTAAAGAATCCGCTCTTCAGGAGGGCTTCGATGCAGGGTTCGCAGAGGTCGGCGCACCTCTCGGCCAAGACCTCGGTTTCCTGCGCGGAAAGGCTTCAGCCTTCGTAACCTATCTCCAGTCGCCGCTATCGTCGCTGGTGCCCGACGATGTAAAAACGTCCTTGCTCGCTGAAGCACGAGAAATCGCCACTGGGCTTGCGGCTATTCGATTCTCCGATGTCGTGCCACGAGATCTGGAAGCAGAAGAGCACGCGCGACAGCACTTGGCGTATGAGGACACCGGGCTGAATGAGAACGAGGGACTGAATGAGCGGAGGGAGATGGAGGGGTTGGAGGATATGCTAGCTCGACTCACTCCTGGCGCTACCATTGCCAGTGACCAATCTGCACGGCCGACGATCAACGACGTTCGCGCACTGGAGGGCCGTTTACGCGTGCTACTACAAAAGCTCGGTCTGCCACCAATCGAGAGCAGCTACGGTCAATGAACTGGGCGTTGGTCGAGTGAATAGCAGGGGCCAGACTGCCTGCCCCCCGAGAACGTGCATGGTGTGTGCAACTATCACTAATCTCAGAGTACGACTGAATCAATCCAACAAGTGTTTTGGCTTGGTCTAATAAATACATCCACCTCATGCGTATTTTGATCTTCTTCGAAGATTGTACGGATCTAGGTGCGAATTACCAGGAGTGACGTACGATACACTACACGTGGGGCCATCTCCCCGTCGAGTAGCCGTCCATGCAAGAGATGTGTGCTGTCTTACAGCTCATCGTGGTCAAAGCCGAACTCCTCATCACCCGATGGTGCTCCAGAACCGGATCCAGAGTACAGCTTGGAGGTGATGGGGTTGACCACCAATTGAATCTCGGCCAACTTCTCCTCGAGGTCCTCAGCGCTGGCAGAAGAACCATTCTCGTCGATCCAGTCGGTGGTGTCCTTGATGGTGGCGAGCAAGGTCTTCTTGTCATCGTCGGCGATCTTGCCACCCAGACCCTCCTGGTCACCGAGCTGGCTCTTGAGACCGTAGACGAAGGAGGAGAGCGAGTTCAGAGCCTCGATACGCTTGCGCTGAGCCTCATCCTCAGACCTGCAGCAGTAATTAGTATCAATAGCTCAAGCCAGACGAGTGCAGTGGACATACGCGAACTGCTCAGCCTCGGCGACCATCCGGTCAATCTCTTCCTGGCTGAGACGTCCCTTTTCGTTGGTGATGGTGATGCTCTCAGACTTGCCAGTGCCCTTGTCGGCAGCGGCGACTTTCATGATACCGTTGGCATCAATCTCGAAGGTGACTTCGATTTGGGGCACACCGCGAGGGGCAGGAGGAATGCTGGAGAGCTCGAACTTCCCGAGCAGGTTGTTGTCCTTGGTCATCGAACGTTCACCCTCGTAAACCTGGATCAACACAGTGGGCTGGTTGTCGGCGGCAGTAGAGAAGCTACCCAGGATGATCAGTACAGTGCGGGGTTGGATACAAGACTACACACATCTGGCTCTTGCGAGTAGGAATGACAGTGTTGCGGGCAATGAGCTTGGTCATGACACCACCGGTGGTCTCAATACCGAGAGTCAACGGGCAAACGTCAACGAGGACGACGTCCGCGGTACCCTCAGCACCAGACAGAATTCCACCCTGAACGGCAGCACCGTAGGCAACAGCCTCATCGGGGTTGATGCCCTTGGATGGCTCCTTTCCACCGAAGTACTCCTGGAGGAGTTGCTGGACCTTGGGGATACGAGTAGAACCACCGACAAGCACAACCTGAGCGATGTCAGCAAAATATGTCAGGCACAATGACAAGCACCACACACCTCGTCAACGTCTTCCTTCTTCACGTTGGCATCCTTGAGCACCTGCTCCACCGGCTTCATGGTCTTGCGGAAAAGATCCATGTTGAGCTCTTCGAATTTGGCGCGAGTGAGGGTCTCCGAGAAGTCGTTGCCATCTTCGAAGCTCTCGATTTCGATGCGAGTGCTTTGTTGGCTGGAGAGAGTACGCTTGGCCTTCTCGACTTCGCGCTTGAGCTTGCCCATGGCGCGCAGGTTCGAGGTGACGTCAGTGCCGGTCTTCTTCTTGTACTGCTTGGTGAGGTAGTCCATAACACGGTTGTCGAAATCTTCACCACCGAGATGGGTGTCACCGGCAGTAGCGAGGACCTCAAAGACACCGTCGTCGATAGAGAGAAGTGAAACATCGAAGGTTCCTCCTCCGAGATCGTAGACAATGATTTGCGACTCTCCGCCCTTCTTGTTCAATCCATAGGCGATAGCGGCAGCGGTGGGCTCGTTGATGATACGGAGCACGGTCAGACCAGCGATCGTTCCGGCGTCCTTGGTAGCCTGACGCTGAGCGTCGTTGAAGTCTAGCGTCCTCGTTCAGTGCCGTCACTAACAATAGTGAGGGTTTTACTCACAGGCAGGAACGGTGACAACGGCGTGGGTGACCTTCTCTCCGAGGTAAGCCTCGGCGGTCTCCTTCATTTTGGTGAGAACCATGGCGCTGATTTCCTCCGGAGACTAGAAAGAAAACATGTTAGACTACTAGCGTAGATGATTTTGGTTGACGCACGAAGTCGCGGTTCTCGCCCTTGTAGGCGACAGTGATCGCGGGCTTGCCGTTCTTCTCGGCGACAGTGAAAGGCCAGTGCTTGAGGTCACGCTTCATGTCAGCGTCGTCCATCTTGCGACCAATGAGACGTTTTGCGTCGAAAACCGTGTTCTTGGGGTTGGAGTGGAAGGCGTTCTTCGCGCTGTCACCGACACTGCACCGAAATTAGAACAAACCGGCCACATTGAAGGTCTGACTCACAGTCGTTCATCGTCCATAAAGCTGACCCATGAAGGAGTGATACGGTTACCCTGGTCGTTTGCGATGATTTCTACACGGCCGCCTCGCTGGACACTACGCGATACACGTGGGTATGATCCTAAGTCTCAAGCAGAGTAAAACGCACCCAACGCAAGAGTAGCTATGGAGCAAACACGGACACGTCAGTGGCTGGAAACATTGAACGAAGGTTGTGCGTAGCGTACGTGGTGCCCAAATCTACAAAGCAAGCAAGTTAAGACAGGTAGGACATGGAGAAACAACCTGGACACGTACCGATACCAATCACAGTTCCATACTCAGCGTGAGCCTCCTCTGCGCTCGCTACAGGCGAAAAGGACACCAAGGCGAGGAGAGAAAGAACGAGAAGGGAGAAGGAGGAGAGGATGCGCAAAGAATGAGCGCGCGTCGGTCTGCGTGCAGACATGGCGAGAGACGGGGAATGAGAGGTTGTGCTTTCGAGGATTTTGTCGTGGTCGAATTTATAGCGACGTGTGATGTGGCGATGAATGGGGTCACGTGGACACTGACACGTATTCTACGCAACGCGTGCAACGTGGCTGCTTCGGTCTCTGAAATTCTTGCGCTGCATCATCTGCTCACATTACTGCACCACTCGGAACAATCGTCCATTGGGACGTCGCGTGGACCCCATTGCTCATCACATCCGAAGCTTCCACTTTGCAGTTGATTTTTTTTGTTTCGCACATGGGAAGTTCGTAGATATATTCTAGAAGCTTCCCGTTGGTCAGCGCAGTCAGCGACAAGGTGAACAACCTTGCGCGACACTGTTCCCGAATACTCTAGACTTGCATGGCACTCCGCCCACAACACCTATGTTGCACACACGCCGAGAGTCTTTTTCGCGCTGACATTTGCAAGCCAGTCTTTTGTCGCCAAATTGGAACACTGAGCGCAACTATTGAGCAGGCCAAGGATTGTGAGGAAGAAATCAGCCTTCATTCATGCTCTGCACCTGCGTGCACCAGATTAAGAATTTGCTGCAGCGCATGTGGATCCCAAGTTGAATACAATGCAGGCCAGGCATACGGTTATGAGACTCGAGCCCTTGATCATGGCAGTGAAAAAGTCACCGTCTACTGGTTTCCGCGGAATCAGTAATGACTTCATACATAAGGGCCGATCACTGCAGCCATCAGCGCGAACAGGAGAGACTCCACTGCAACTGACACGCGTCATTTGAGGAGACTACCTATCTCTCATTCCGCCGACAACATACCCTAACTTATATACCATTTATTGTGCTATCCAGCGAGCAACAAGGGCATCTTCGACCAGGTCTCTGTGGCCAGGACAACAAGAACATCTTCCCCATTAGGTGAGCACTTTGTAACTAATAGGGCGCCCGTTTGATCTACAATTGTTGTCTAGACTTGTGCTCTCGCTTTGAGGCCCTCTATGGCCGTCTCTGGGCACCAACTTTGGTGGACGACGAGCAATGGCTCTGTTTTCATCCCATCAAAAACAAGCTCATCAACGTCAACCACCGAAAGCGCGTCCGACGAACATTCCCAGTCTTCCGTCAGATCCACGTCGCCCGCGTCGGCTTCTTCCACCTCATCTCCGCTCACGTCCTTCACGACTTCTTCTCCGGCCTCTTCTGTCTCTACCACGAACACGATACCCACTGTACCCGCATCGGGGGTGATATCCAGTCTCACGACCTTCACAACGACTTTTCCCACCACCATCACTCAACCTACGACCACTTTCACATCTCTCGCAGAATCGGTGGTCGTGACCACCGCTGCCACTACGACGATACCCGCCAATCAAGCGCTCGCCAGCTCCAACCCTGTCTGTATCGGAGCTGGCACAGACTCTTCTACCGATGGAGTACTCGCATCTCTGATTCTCCCCAGTGTCATCGGGCTTCTGATTTGGGTTCGTTTCCTAGTCCCCCCATATCTTTCCCTTCGACTGACGCGTGAAAAAAAAAACAGATTTTGTTTGCGGTTCTGAGACCGAGGTTTCGGCAGGTTTACGCGTTGCGGGAGTGGTTTGTGGAGCAAGGGTGCGTGTACATATCCAGTGCGGAAGCCAGTGTCGTTCCGATAGGGCGTGGGGTGTTGTTATCGCTCAGGCATGGCGCTGTTTCTGAGCACCAGGCGACGCTTACTACGGACAGTTCCGAATGCGCTCGTTTCCTTTTTCACGTGGGTGATGTTGAGGCGGAGAAAAAGCGCCCATCGGACCCACTGGCTGTCGTTTGATTAGTTCGCATAGCTGATGACACCATCCCACAGGCTTCGGCCCCAACCACTTTCGTCTTCGTTCTTCGCTTTCCTACACCCTCCGGTGCCATTGATCCCTCCGGTGCCCTCCGATGTGTCTGACATGGGTCGTTCGTCCGCGGAAGACGCAGCTCTGTTCCCCTCCGATGAACAATTGAGCCAGCGCGCCGTCTGGATAGCGCTGCTCATTGCTCTTGGATGGGCGTTCCTCGGCCTGGTTGGAGCGCTTCCGCTCTACATGGTCTCGACGCCATGTCTCGCAGACGGAAACTCCCCAGCTGTATTCGGTGGGCAGTACTCGACGCTCGAAGATCTTAGTCTTTTGCGGCTACTGCGGGCCGTAGAAGCCCACAACATTTCTTCGCAAAATCTGTTAGCTTCGCGCGCCGTTGTTGCTGGTGCTGGTGACCCCCAAAACCTGCGTGTGCGCCTGATTGTGCTGACCGTCTTGGTCATCGTGATCGGTCTTCTTCCTTCCCTGTACAAGATCGTGAAAGAGTTGCGGCGATTGATCTCTTTCCGGCAACGCTGGCTCGAATATCGCTGCCAGGGAAAGCAGTTGGGCTGGCTGAGCGCAAAAGATGCTCGTGGTTTTGCTGGATGGGGCGAGCAGAGGTTCAAGACCTTCCTTGCTACGAATGGAATGAGTTCTGTCTTTCAGAGTGGCTCACAGGCGCAGCGACGCAGTCCGCCTCGGGATGGGTCGGCTCATGAGCCTGATGCGGAATCCTACGAGGTTGATGTCACGAATCTGTACTCTATCTGGTATGTGTATCGTATTCCAATACGAGCCGTCCGGATTGATCAATGTCCAGCGATACCCAACGTCTGGCGCTCCTGATCGACGAGCGCGACGAGATTCTCGAGAACTTGGAACTTGCCGAGACTCGTTACATTTCGTCCTTCAGGCTCACGACTCCTGATCCCTCCGTCCTCGACTTCGAACCACGTAGCGCTCCAGAGGGCGAGGATCCATCGCGGCCATACATCAGTCATCCGTTGCCTCTGCGGAACCAGACTGTGACGCGCCGACCACGCCGAAAACGATCATTGAATCCCGCGTTCGCCGCGTCATCGCTGGCGCCGAGATCCTTCGTCGCACCGTCGGTTTACTACAAATTGAATCGCGTGCACGGTGTTAGTGGCGGACAATTCGGAGGTGAAGGCGCCTTGAATGGAAGCACAAACGGCCGACAGTCGCTCGCTCAGAGCATCAACTCGCGTCTGGTGGGCAGCCGATTCCAGGAGATGAATCGCAACTCCGGATTTGGACACGTACCCCTCGGCAGTCATGTTCAGGTGGGCAGCTCCGGAGATCTGAGGCCCATTGACGAGCATGGCTTCCTGAACATTCCGGACCCGACGCGATACGGTCCCAACCAGACCGTCGAGGATCTGTTGAATGGAGAAGATAAGGAATGGGTGGATGTTGAGACGGAAAATCACCCTCGCGCTGACGAAACGGAGCACAACGGACCTGTCCCCGGTGCATCCAAGCGTGAGACGTTCCCCTTCCGCCGCCAGCAGTCCAGCATCAACCCGGATACTGTTGCACCGCCGCATCTCCGACTGCAGCCGAGCCAGCCGTTTGTGCGACCGAATGATGGGTTGGATTTCGAGCATCTCGGCTCGGTGTATGCCGATATTTCACAGTGGCGGACTCGACTGAAGGCGATCAATGTCGAGATCAGCGAGGCGCAGACGACAGGCTACGAAGATATCGCCGGTGGTGTCCATATCAAGGGGTGGTTGATGATCGGTCGTGGTCTGCGGTTCATTCCTGGGATGCAGATCATCGAAGGCATGGCCAAAGAGGACGTCCGTTGGGACGTGTTGCAAAACGAACGGGGACCGTTGGACTCGGTTGTGCTGTGGTCTTTGTTGATCGTCGCGAGTGTCCTGCTGATGGCTGGCTGTGAGTGGTTGCTCTTCAAGGGGATCGTAAGCCTAAACTCGTCCAGTGACTGCCGCTGTTGGATTGTCCTTGGTCAATGCCCCCAACGTCGCACACTATCTGCCTTTCCTGGCACCGTTGCTCACTGCAAATAGCATTGCGTCAGGCCTGGCCACTGTTCTTGCACCGGCTGTGGCAGGGACACTCTTCATATGCCTCGCCATGGTCATCATCAACTGTATGTGACACTTACTGTGTGTGTGTCAGTCAGTCATTGATATGTTTGTAGATGCGTCCCAAATCCGAGGGAATGTCTCTCGCTCGAGCACCCAATTATTTGTTTTCCAGCTCACGTTTTATATCCTTTTCGGGATTGGTGCTATCTGGCTCATCACCGTCGGTGCTCTGATCTACGCGCTCCAGCAGTTCAACACCGGACCCGGCCGATCTACATCCGTCGCCGACGGGTCCATCTACATGGCCATCCTCGCCCTGAGCGTGATATTCACCGCAGCCATCATATTTCCGGGCTTCCTGTTGCTGCAGCCGTTCCGACTGTGGCACGTGTTGAAAGCGGAAAAGCGCGCCATCACACCCAGACAAAAGTTCCGAGGCAAGTTTGCGGCTGAGCCCTAGAATTGGACTGATTGGAAGAAACACAGCAATATACCCTAGGACTTACAACCCCGCATTCGCTATCGGGGCCTGTATCCTTGCTATCATCTTTGCTTCAACATTTTCGCTCATCTTCCCTTTAATTGCCCCTGCTGTTGTGCTGTTGCTGTTTCTCACTCTCGTTGGTCAGTGTGTTCATGTTTGTTACTGGCGCACACATCAATGCTGACTGCGCACAGCTCATCGTTTCCTCGTCGGCTACGTCTATGCTCGCACTCACTCACAAACGGGTGGTCTGTTGCAGATCTGGCTGCTCCGGCGGTTCGGCACTCTGCTTGGGCTCCAGCCCATTCTATTGGGCCTGATCTATCTCAGTCGCCGCTTCTGGATCGAAGGCGGAGTGTTGGTCGGTGTTGGGTTTTTCGTGGTTGCGCTGGTGGAGATATACACCATCGTCCGGACCCGACTGCCTGGCCGGCGGTCGCTGTCGGGAATCACCCGGGACTCGCTCAGCAAATTTGAAGCTGCGGCCCGAGCTTCAAAGCTCAAGACCATCGATGACGAGACTGTCAGCGTCGTCGGCAGCAGTGCGCGTCTTGGTGGCCATCGGACGAGAGGTTCGATGGCCTCTGTGCTCGAGATGATGAGCGTCACGCTGGCTGTGATGCCTCCCCGGCAGCCCGAGAAGGTGTCGCTGCCCCTCAGTGAGTCGCTCGCGCCCATCGTCCAGCCACACAATGTGTTGACGCGCTTTAGAAACTGAGACGCTGGATGACCTGACTGCCACGGAGCGAGCAGCCCGGACCCACCCACATGCTCCGCCTCATCTTCCTCCGCTGTCTTTCACCGACCACGCGCAAGAAATGGCGAGTATCCTCTACGCGCCGGAGCTGATCGCGCCGCCGCCCATCATCTGGCTCCCGAACGACAAGGCGGGCGTCGCGCGATCGGAGGCCGTGGATCTACAGAAGTACCACAATCTGAGAGTCACTCTGGATGTGAGGAGGGAGGAGGACGCGTGATCGACTTGAAATGGACAATGTAGTTATCAGTATCTTGTATCCTCTTAGTTACCCAGTTATATCACATCGATGTAGGATGGATCATGAGAGAATCAAACTGCGGGATAACATTCGAGTTTCGGATCCTTAGCCCTAACACCCCCATGAATTCTGTTCAGCTTGAGACTACTAGGCTACATGCCTCGGAGTCGGGCGGATAGGTGGTCCACCTCGTTACGATAAGTCTCTACCAGACGGTCACTACATGTAATTGAGACGAGATCGCAAGTCGCTCTCTGAACAGGTTTCTCATTGAGTATGGTGTTTGAGAACTGTTCCATGAGACGTCGATATCTATGTGCACGGAGACTGTCGGTCAGAGCAAGCGAGACACTCCAACTGATTTTGGAGATGGCATACAGTCCCATGATGGGGTCTTTGGAGGGTTTAGCAGTGATGTCATCTTTAGTTAGCCTTAGAGAAGGAGCCTGCAAACGAGTCGGCCTCCGGGCTATTCCGTGACGGATCGAACATTCCCAGTAATTTCATGAAAGCCGGGAGCAGATAAACTATAGTCAAAAAAACCAGCATCTCTGACAGACGCGTTGGAGCACGCTCAAGCCGATGGTGGGACCGAAAATTCAAACGATACAGTACGCACGAGCCTCGACTTCAGTCCAGACTGAATTTCCGCGTATCAAATAAACCCGGTCCTGGCGTCGCGGACGAAGGACCTCGAGCCCTGTATCGGCCGCGAAACAGACTGATTGCTTGGCCGGATAAGAGTCAAATCATCGCAGAGGAGGGCGATAAGATTCTAGTGGAGCGATCCGAGAAGCAACTTGAATCAAGACATAGATCGGAGAGAGTCTGAACTTCACCGTCGATGTACAAGCCGGGAAGCTGGGAGCAAGCTCAAGCCTGCCGGTGACGAGAGTCACACTGTGACGGACCTACAACTATCACACGCGCTTCCACCAGTGTCTACTCCCGTGTGTGAGGTATCTACGAAAGCTTGTCGGTGAACCTGCCAGTGAATTGAACGGAAGGAATGATACACGGAAGTAACTCCTGTCTCAGTAACATGCGAGCCACGATTGCCAGGGAACTCGAGTCGTCCAACGACACTTACAGCTTCAGCCCTTGAACGAAGCGCCTCGGTGATTAATATGGAATGCTTCGGAACAAGGTTGCCGTGTCGCCGAGCTTGCTGCACCAAAGTAATCGCGATTCTTCTTGCAAGCCTCTGAACAGTCCGTCATGTCGCCGCCGGTGGTACTCATTACTGGATGCTCGGAGGGCGGGATCGGGTACACAATGTCGGTCCTGATATCTCTTATGCTGTGTGTTACTCTGATAGTCTGTCTTCTCAGGTGCCTCGAGTTCGCCTCCCGAGGATGTCCGTCTGTCTCTGTTTCTCAATGGATCTAACTCACGCAAGCGGCAGGCAAAGTCTACGCCACGGCGCGCAACACAAGCAAGATGAAAGGCCTCGAGCCCATAGCCAACGTGGAACTCATGGCCTTGGACGTCACGGTTGATGCGAACGTGGATGAGGTCGTCACCGAGATCGCCCGCAAAGAAGGTCGGATCGATATTCTCATCAACAATGCTGGCATGGCCTGCTTTGGTGCGCAAGCATGCTTCTCAATTTGACCCGACCGGAGCTTATATGCGTCCAGGTCCGATCCTCGAAGTTCCGCTGAAGCAGATCAGCGAGGTCTACGACGCCAACATCATGTCCATCATCCGCGTCACTCGCGCTACTGCCCGGCACATGGCTGAGCGCAAGTCGGGGCTTGTGGTGAACATCAGCTCGATCGTTGGTGAAATGTGCGTAGTCGCTGTCTACCTGAGGGCTATTGGTCGATCTCACAGAGTCGCAGTCCCACTCCATGGTGCGGTGTCTACGCTTCCTCGAAGTCCGCCGCACACGCCATCAGCGAAGTACTCCACATGGAGTTGCGCCCGTTCAACGTGAAAGTGATGCTCGTCTGTCCTGGAGGAATCCAGACGAATGTCGCTCAGAATGCATCCAACCGCTTCGAGCTGCAGCCTGAGTCACTCTACACCCGGTATCTCGACTGCATCGTCAAGCGGATGTGGGCCAGTCAAGGCCCTTCCTCGATGAAGGCCGCTGATTTTGCAACCCTTGTGGCAAACAAAGCAATGTCTCCAAACCCGCCCTTTTACCTTACAATGGGTTCACACTCGACGCTTTTCGCGCTCTTGAAGTGGCTGCCGCGGATGACCGTCTTGAACTACATGTGGAAAACATACGCTACTCCCAGCAAATAAGTGTATTAGCGTAGGCGTTGTACGTATTTCAAACAGCTTTTTCAAGGCCTTGACCTGTCGGAGCATGTGATCAATTATACGCGACTAAACGCGTGACGTCATCGAGTCGTCAAGGCGATCACGAGCGTGGCCCCAACTTTCTTAAGAGTCCAAGCGCGCTAGTTCTTGGCTTATATATTGCGCTTGTCCATCGGCCAGGTCACACGAAACCCCTTTTATCCACTTACCATGCCAGGTGTGTCTGCTGCACCTGCCACTCAGCGCCCTCCTCACATTCACTCACAGGAACCAAACGTGCCGCCGCTGACGACGGAACGACCACCACGTCTCCCAAGGCCGCGAAGAAAGCCAAGCCAGACAGCCCTGCGGCGAAAAAGGCGGGCGCCGCCAAAGGCAAAAAGGGCGCCGCCGCGACGAAAGCCAAGGCCATCCCCACCTCGGACTTCCAGACCATGGCCCTCCCACTGCACGTCAACCTCACGCACACGCCGCCCAGCATGCCGGCGTCGGACGCCGATGCGGAGTCCACTGTAGCCGTCGCGCCGCTCGACCCCGGCCACCTCGGCAGTCTGACTCTCATCCCAAGCTCGTTCAAGACGGGGAGCTATGGCTGGAAGGGCAACAAGCGCCTCACGATTGAGCTCGAAAACTCGGGAGAGGGCGGCAAGAAGGAGAAGGTCTCTGTAATGCTGACGTGCGTCGTTTGTGTGTGGGTATTCAGCAATCACTGACGAGACCTAGCATCAATGCCACTGTGTTGGGCAGCAAAGGGGCTGACAAGGAGGATGCTGAGGACGCGGAAGCTGATGCTGTTGAGCAGGAGGCCGAAGAGGCCGCTGAAGAAGAGTGAAGTCACACTGGAACAACACAAACAACAGTGTCTCAAACTCTATTTACTGGATCTTTTGTATATGTACTTGCGTCACGATTTCTATCCAAAGCTGTCTAGCTACAATATTTGATTTCACCGGGACAATGTTGCTCACGTATTTATTCCATCTGCTCTACTTATTCGGAATAAACGAAATGAGGGCGTAGCTGAACAAGGTTGAGATACCAAATGGGCGCAGAAACAGATCAACTGACCGCCCATCCACACGCCATTTATTGCCTTCCGCGTCTAACTTTTCAGCAATTTCTCGATCGACACCCACGACAACATCCGCTTTGTTAGTCCGTAAGCTGAGCAGGGGGAAAGATCCTGCAAGAGGGCCAACGGCGTCAGAAAAGGCTGTCCAAGCCGGCCATTTGATGTCGCCCGTGAGTTTGCGATAGCTAAACAGCGGATCAGACGCCGAACACTATAGGAACCGTAGTCTGCGCTCACTTCAAATCTCCCTAGAAAGTATCTCAAAAGTGTTACCAGAAGAAATTCAGGTGCTTTCGGGCGCACCTTGAATATCACCAGACCACTGTCTTTCAGTTTGGCATACAGATTCGGCGCGCGCGTTTCCATATCCCAGTAAGGCCAGGGCGAAGTCCAAAATGCTGCCATATCACCAGAAACTCCGCCTCCCAAAGGAGTCGTCTCAGGGACGGACAACGAGAATGTGCCGTCGGCAATATATTTCTGCCATCGTAACACGAGATTCCGCACCCGCTCTGGATTGGAAGACTCTATGCTGGCAAGGAATCCAGGATCCAACAGACTCGTGATCGTTTCCGAGAAGTCTGGGGGTGTCACCTGCGGGAAGTCAGAATCACATTCCGCATAAGCCAGAACGCACGTACATCGGAAACAAACCAAGGGATGAGTTTGGGACTGTGGTTTTATGAGACAGAGCTCGAACAAGATTGAGCTCGCGCACTGGAAGATCACTTTAGAGACGTAGGGAGTATAGGTGACCAGAAAGTCGGCGAAAACCAGGTCAGTGAAAAGCTAAGGCCTGTTATGAGCCTTCGCCAGAGAGCAGAATACTCACTGACCTCGAACCCAGCTGCCCGTTCCCGGTGAATGAGACGCAGTGTACTGTCCGGTTAGGAATGTTCACGAACCGTTGTCGAGAACAAAGTCTACGCGAGCCTGATGCAAGGATTTGACTTGCTCCCAAACGGCTTCTTGGTTGTCTCGGAGTATGAACTCTTGTCTCGCCGCTTGAGCATCCTTGCCGACACTTTGCAGATGCTCGATGTCGGACGCAGAAAGATGTGTCAGAAGAGATAGATCCTGTAAGGCATAACGTCAGAGAATCCATGAGAACATATAGATAATTTGATTTACAGTTGCATTTCCCCTGAACTATGATCAATTCCCAAGAGGTAAGATGAGCGAAGGGTGAAGTACCACAAACACATCTGAATCATTTCCTTAAAGAGAACAGCCAACTTGCTCGGATCGGACTGGAGCCGATCCTTTTCTTCTTCCAGCTCATGCATTGTAGTGGCAATTTCTGCACAAAGCTGTGATTCGAATTGTGAGACGAGTTTCTTACGCACGATGAATGGCTTTGCCGGACTGCTTGAATGTGTCGATCTTCTGTGAGAAAAACGGATCGAACGAGCGCCAATGGCTGGTCTGCAGGAGGAAAGATCTCAGGAGTCGATACCTGTATCTTAGCTCAGAGCAGTCCCGCTCTCACAGCGCGAGAAAAAATGATCGACGCACAGATAGCATCTGAAGTAGCCGGATTAGATAAGATAAGATACCGGGATGCAGCCGTTGGGTTAGATCGACTCACTCTGCGAAGAGCCACGGCGCCGTGAACCAGGTATTCTGCGAGCGTTGCGCCAATCGATTGAGTTCCAAGTTGTATTCGTCCGCCGGTTCCCCGTCTGCGGGGATCGGTCTCGTGGTACGATCGATGACCCGGATATCAGGAGAGGACAAGTCACCCACGAGAGAGCATGGTCCCTCCCCATCTCGTACTTCAGCTTGCTGATCTGCAGACCCACGACAAACGTTGGTGGGTCGCCCCCGGTCATGGGATGCTGCGGACCTTCTCAATGACAGATTTAGCCTCATCGATGCGGGCAGTCAGTTCTGCTTTCACAGCCTCGTCTTCGGTTGCATTCAGCTCGATGTAAAGGTCGTGGCTCAATCGATGCATGCGGTCGATAACGCTGGAGATAGACTCGGTGAAACTCTGGCGAAACAGCAGAAGCTCTCGAACCCAGTGATAATGACTGGCCACCGGTGCACGACCGTCTGGTAACTGTGGGACTGAACTAGAAGCTCTGGCCTGGAAATCAGCGTGAGACAGAAGCTTACGAGAATCCGTCTCGGTCCTTGGGATCGTAAGGTGGATATGGAGCCTCGAACATGCCTGAAGATGATAGTAAGGTCAACAACGGACTACCTTATGTAACCAGTATGACAATATCAACATCGGCCACGAAAGCTGCAACAGCTGAAATTGAGTGGGGATGATACTTATAACATGGTACCAAAAAAAACACAAGGCAGTACAAACTAATACGATACAGTATACCGGAGAATACAATCACAGTATCAAAGGAAGGTGTTCTGGCCAAGGATGATCTCTCGTCAACGGCTGGACCGCGAGTCTTCGTCATCGCTCTCATCTGGGTCTGACACCCTGATAGCACGGTAGAGCCCACGACGGATGCTCGCCATAGAAGACGTAGTCTCCGGTGAGGACCCACTTGAATCGGAGCTTTGGTCCGAGTCCGAGCTTGGCACTGTCAGGATCAAGCGAAATGCGTCTTTCCCGTTGAGATAGAAACGGTAAAGACGCTTCTCTCGGATGAACCCCAGGCTTTCATACAACGACAGCGCCGCACTGTTGTCGTACTCGGTCTCGAGGACTATCTAGCTCGCGACAGTCAGTCCGGGGATCCCTCAACAGCTGAGGTAACACACACCTCCTCAACCCCATCCTCCTTCATGGCATCGAGCGAATTCTTAACGAGGGTGCTAGCTAGAGGAAAGAAAAAGAAAAGAAATCGCACCAAAAGGTGGTAATTCCATATCTGTAAGACAATGCGTGAGGCGGCGAAGTAGGCCGGGACACGCCGGGACTAACCTATGCCGCGCTTTCGCCAATTCTTGCTCACACTAAGCATCGCAATATATCCCCGATTTGCTCGGTCTCGATGTAGACTCTGCTTGCAGACGATCACGCCAATGGGGCGCGACGTCGGCGCGTCACCTGGATAAGCCTAGCAGAGGCATAAGCGCGCGACTTGGTATTCACAGAGCAGACTTGCAAGGAACGAGAGATGTGGCCTAGGGGAGCCAGAAACTAGCGTCAGGGTTGATCACACGACCGCGTTGCAGACACGCACCATTGGTGTAGGAAATATCGGAAAGTGTAGATAACGTAGGGCTCGCTGAGCTCAGACTGGACGAGTTCCATAATATGCGGGAGGTCTGCTTCACCAGTGTATTGCCGGTAGATTATCGACATGGATGCAAGAGGAGAGAGAGAAACGTGTGTGAATCTGGCGTGATGTCACGCTTGGGCATATAAGTAAGCCGCGCAACGAGGCTTACGCCGGACTGAGACCGAACGAATGGTTATCTTTGCAACCTCCTGGAGCATGGGTACGGAGTTAGGACGTATCTACGCGTCTCCTACAACGTCTGCATTGGGCAACATCCACCGAAATGTGATGCTCAATCTGGTTCCCCGTTCTCTGCGAACTCCATCAACGAGATCAGCCGTCCGTCGTTCGATTCCATGTGTCCAGCGATATCTCGCCTCTCCTGTGAGGACAAGCATACTTCTCTCGGGGAGGTACAGATGGACAGGCTGCACCGAATCATCCTCCACAGTGTCGGTGTAGCCAGTGCCCTCAGCAGCAGCCGCAAATCGCATGACGGATCCACTCCCAAAGCTAGCCCCAACGATTCCATCTCCGAATCTCCTCAGCAGATCGACATGTGGTGTGATACCTTCACCAGGGTGATACAAGTTGAGTATCGCCTGACGAGTCAGTGATGGCGAGTGCGGAAACAAGAGCTGGTGAGTCTCCTCTGAAAGTGTCGGGGCGAGAAGAGATGCCATTGTCGCAAGCAGAGTTGTAAGCAACGGAGGGAACCCAGTTGCCGATGCCGATGTGCCAAAGAGCATGATCTGGTTCACACCTTCACGTTGGAAGTAACTCTCCAAACAGAAATGAACGACCTCATTCGCCAGCGCTTCTGGAATGAGGTGTGTCGGACTCAGGACGAGCCCGGGGATGAAGGGAGCTGCGGTCGTGCTCACGGGCGGTCCGACAGCTGAAGGGATGTCTTCATCGAAAAGAGAGTTTGGAGAGTCAGGTGACGGTTCTTCGTGGGTTGAACCGAGTTTTGTGAAGATACTCAAGTCAAGGGTTTCTCGACGAGTGTGTGTGGTGAGAGTTGACATGCATGATTGAGCATCTGGATCATGCAGAGCCACATCATGGGTATCAGGCGGCCACCGCCGGCGGGTACTCAATCGCCGGAGTCGTAAGTACCCCGAGTCCGTGTTATGGGTCAGTCTCTCCTGGTACCCGTCTCCTGCTCTTTTCTCTTCGTCTGTACCTCGAACAATGGAAATCACTGGAAACGCGGACCCTGATCTCAAGGAGATATTCTCTGATCTTTACAAAGTCTTTGGACCTCAGAACGACAAGCCTTCGTTCGCACAGGATGTCCTCGCTCGTCTCAAGGTCACCCATGCTTCGAAGGACAGGAAGGCCGATGAGCCGCATAAAGAGGAGGCGAGGGTCGTATGCGAGATTGTAGTTTCTGACGGTATGTGCGATGGGTGATAGAAGAATGCCGGACTGAGAAAGCACCTCAGGTAACTCACAACCGACTCGTTTTACAGCGATTCTAAAGGACATCAATCAGGAATGCTCAACGGGGGTGGCACGGTCCATGGCAAGTTGTTCGCGTGTCTGTGTGCTCCAGTCATCTTACCTGACGACAGGCGGATGTTCAGCGTTCTTGATTGACATGTGCGGAGTAGTACGGCCACATTCACTGGACGCACGTCTCATAGCACTCAGGTGTTCCTCACTCGCTTTCATGGTGTTCGGTCAGTGGAAGACAGTTTCCCAGTCACTCAACGTCGTGTATCATTCTCCGGCTGCGACGTACGTTGCGGGCGCGCTTATACATTGACCAATTTCCGACACCTTCACAGCGGGGAGACGCTGCGTGTGATCAACACTACGTTGACCATGGGGGCCAGAACGATGTCAGCGCGTACTGAGGTTCGTTCCCTTTGAAGTTGCAAGTATTGATGTTGAGGTCCTTCGAAACAGATCTGGAATGTAACCAAGCACAGGCTTGTCGCGTCGGGCGTGCACATTAAGATGGCCCCCTCTTCACCCAAGTTGTAAATCGCGTTTGGTAATCCTTGGTAGATAGACCTAAGTACATTACAATACATTTGTCCGTGCAGCTAGAAGAAAAAGGTGTCCGACAGTTCAAAAAGGTGGAATGTACGGTCGATCATATGTCGGTGGAGGACCTCGCAGAGGGCCTGGCACGGGTGACACATCCGGAGTGAAGAGCGAAGCAGAGCGCGCATGGTGAGAAGACTGGGGCGGTGCGCCCTGGAATGTCGCCTGGGGAAACTTGGGCTCGTCGTAAGTGTAAAAAGCGCCTTTGTCGACATTGTAAAGAGTATGGTCGTCCTTGCCTCGCTTGAAGACTTCCGGGGCAAAGTTCGAGGAGGCGAGAGCCTCTTCGGCGTTGACTGAAACTAGATCAGGACTGGGAAATGGTGGCGGGTTTTTGGCACACTCACGGTATTCGGCAAGACCTTGATCAAAGTTGCGCCAGCAGATCGTCCCCAGAACGCCACTTGCTCTGCTCAAAGTAAGCAAGTCACAGTGAAAGAGATAGAGAGTCGCTGACATGATCAAAATGAACGAAGCAGTGGTGAGGCAGGCCAGATAAGGCCACTGCAGCAAAGACCAGCGGAAGACAATTGAATAGAACATGCATGACCACCCAGCCAAAAGGACAAACGCCAGAACCAGGAACGACACCATCATCGCCCGATGCTCTCGTCGAACACCGTACCATCCCAATGAGATCCAAGGAATAAGAATGACCGTCGTGGCGATAATCAGGGCATCATACAGGTTCGTATGTGCTGACAGCTTGCGGATACTCGAGGTAGCGAGCACGTCGACCCACAAGCTGGTGGCTGCCACAAGCACAAACACTTCCATCTGAAGACAAGCTTGCACGGCCATGAAGAACTGGAACGGATCGTTAACGAGCCGATTCAGGGCATGAGAAGCTGCTACTCGCCTTGTGGATGCGATTGATGTGTTCCGGGGCTCCAACACGATTGAATGACTCATCGTTGAATATTCTCAACAACCTCCAAGATAGAGCAGCCAGCGACAACAAGCCCAGCACACTCAAAGCGGCATCGGCGATATAGTATCCGCTGCGGGTCTGAAAGAAAGTAGGGAACATATCCACTCCGCACGGGGTGCCCGCAGCTGAGACAGTCGCCGAAAATATCGTGCTTTGTTTGTGCGACCGGCAAGACACGACGTAGATGCTCCAGATTGTTATGAGCAAACGAGTGGACAGCACAGTCAACAGATGCGGGACTGAATGGTTGCCCAGAGCATAGACTGAGACCCCGAGTAACCAGAATTGCAGGAAAATGAACGTCAAATCTTCCCGCGCCGCATTTTTGAGACTGGAGAATGATCAGTTACGGAGTGGGAGAGAGGGTAAGATTCAGTTGCATACACTTGCTGCGGGTAGCTAAGTATCTGGGTGCACTGCTTGTTGAGCACAAGGCTGGATGAGGCTGAGTGCAGCTGCACACCGTTGGAGCCACCAAAATCGTAGTTAGTTTCGACGGAGAATCCCTTGATCAGGTCTTGCAACACCTGGACCGTGTCATCGGCGAAATTCAACATGGAGTGGAAAGACACGCACGATCTGCGGGTCAACCAAGTCGGTCTGCACGTCCTCTGAGGAGCTTGAGGTATTCCCGGAGTCGAAGATGACCGTACATGGATTCAGTGCTTGCCCGTGCGGGATGTCATTGCACATGCGTATGGTGTAGTGTTCGTTCGTTCGATCCAGATACGTAAAGTTCCCCAGTGGTATCTCGGCAGCCTTCCCAATCTCGCTAAACACTCCTGCGAACCGTCCGTCCAATGCGTATAGGAGTGATTGAATCACACCCTGAGCGAAACACAGCAGTAGAGAAAGGACGAAAAACGTGTTTGTTATTCGGTCTTGGAGAAGATATGAGCTGAAAGGAATCGCGGATGCTCGGATCGAGAAACATACTGCGAGTTATGTGGGCATACTGTGAATATGACTATTCAGCGGCCAACCACGACCCAAACATCAAGGGCACGCACAGTGGACCAAAGTCTGGCTTCTACGTTGGATAGCATTTGGATGTTGGTGGATAAAGTCCGAATTCAAAATGGCACGGCCGATGGAACGTTACAGCAGCAAACCCAGCACCAGAGGCGAATCAAATAGATGCACGACGCTGGCGGAGACTCCCACGGAGAGAAAGAAAGGACGAAGAATGAATGAAACGGACAAGCGAGGAAGCAAGAAGAGAAAGAGAAAGAGGCGAGGAAAGAACCAGGGACAGCAGGGATGCGGATGACATCTTTTCAGCTGTTCGTAGGCAGCCTGACAAGATGTCCAACACGACGGATCCATGAGCACTGCCAGTTCTTACATGCCATCTGTAATGTGATCACGAACCGTCCCGAATCATGATGTCTCATAACTGTAAAGCGGATAGTTCACCCTTTCCCCTCGATACTGAAGCCGCACTTCCACCAGAATGGCGCTGTTCGGATCGCGTTTTCCACTTGACTTGTGCTTCCCAAACCCCAATAGACGAAGACCTGCCGAAACACTGTTGCCGACACCGTATATTTTCTGTCAATGATGCCAACTATCCGTGGCTTCATGGTCAGTGAACATTACAGCAGTTCGGATCCGAATGAGGTTTTGAGTTGGGAGACGAAGTAGGAAAGTCTAAGTCGAATGCCCAGCGTATGCATTGCGAAAGTGATGTTGAATTACAGCGAAAGGCATGTAGATTGTGAGGCTTGGACTGTGGCATGTGCATAGGACTATCGGAGGAGAGAGCGAAACGACATCGCGACAAACATCTGACAGCTGATAGCCGCCGATCTGCTCTTGATCGTTCGTTCCCTTGCGTTCCTCGACTGTAGTATACTCCAGTCCGAAACTTGTGGCGAATGTTGCGGTTGTCCAATAATATATAATGAATATCGATACATCTATCTCCTCTGGCACGCCCAACCTACAAGTCCGCTGACTAGCAGAACACCAGCCCAAGCACGCCAAGAAGCATCTAACGATGTGCGTGTGCTGTCCAAGATTGACGAGGACGACTGGACCAGCGTTTGATTCACAGCTTGTGATGGAAAGATAGGTGGGGGTTGCAATTCTTCATCGCCTGGACCCCAGGCCGGATCGAGGACAGCCTGTTCCCCAACTTCGACTTGTGCGACACCGCCAAGGAAGTCGGTCAGTCGAACCTGGTCGAGAGGACGACGGAACAGGTCCGATCGAACACCCGGATCTGACTGTATCTTTTCTGGATCGTAAGACGCAAACTGATATCTTCAGTCACCCGATTCTCATGTTAAGCATGAACTTGAACATACCAAGTCAGCTACGGTATCCTGCGAAGTCTTGTTGATGCCCTCCATGAATTCCAGAACGTAGTGAGTGAAACGATCAATGACAGAGACTCCGATGTCTGCATCGTTTTCATACTATATCGCGTCAGTAGCTGCCCCGCAATCGACTGGTCTCGAACGCACAGAGTATGAGCTCTGATCTAACTTGGAGGATCCGGTAGCAAGTATATTGGGCGAATAGAACTTGGAATACATCGTATTGGCCTGGCAAGTGTCGATCATGAAGAAGATCTCATTGTACCTAAACAATTCCTTCAGTCTTTAACGAATGAAGCGAGGGCAGAACCGACCTCTTCTTCTGATACATCTGCTCGAACGCGTCTGCGATATCAAACGCACTGATCTCTTCGTTGTCCTGGAACTTGAGGAATTCATTACCGCCATGACCAGTCATATAAACGAAGATGTTGGAATGCGCATCAGTCAACAGCCGTTTAGAACGAGGAACAGAGGGTTCCATCCGTCCTAAATGATCATGAGCCCACGCGCGGTATGAACAGAAGGTCTCTCACCGGTTAGAACGCGAATGAAGTTTTCCACTGTCACCTCGTAGCCACGATAATCTACTTCAATGTTGTCCCCATACAAGTCGAGTCCGCGACCTGGATTGGCGTAGACGCTGCCAGGAAATCGATTACGCGTGTTACACGCCGCGTCGTCGGCTAACATCAGGATGATGTTTGAGTCCGGGATGCCCAAACGTTTCACAGTCCGGTACCTGGGGTGCTATGAGCGGAACCGCGGCTACACACTCCTGTTCTCTAGCTCACATTCCCAACGCGTTGGCCATGTGCTGACCTGATGATCAATAACCGAAAGGAGAAGGATTTGAGCGGAAAGTACTCGGTAATTGAACCAATAACGCGAGGAACAGACGAGAACGGCCCAGTTATTAGTGTGATTCGACGTGCTTCCGTCTGTGGCATGTTTGCTGAAGAAATTGCCCACAAATTCTTCTTGGGAAGGCGTAGTGGCAAGGATCCCCCAAGTCCAGCTAAGGAGACCAAGCAGTAGGTGGGGGAGAGAGAGAAGCATACTTGCTTACCAAGACACGCATACTTCAAAAAGGGAAATCGACTCTCTCATTTGTGTAGAACTTCTCCGCTCGAGACCATTCCGGTGCAACGTTTGCTAGCAAACCAAAATCTTTCCAGCTGAGGATTGTATCTTCTGTGGAATCCATCTTGAGCCCTCAAACCTCTCATCATGCTCGCTGGTGAGTAGCTTCTATTTTAATCACCCAGTTCTGGTGCTGACCGGCGACTACTCAGGCTTGGTGGCTTATGAAGACGATTCTGCAAGTGAAGATGAGCAAAAGCAGACTACTTCTCCTCTGAAGTCTGCTTCAAGCGCGTTTACACATGTGAGGATCTCCATCGCCCCTCCTACTACATGTTTCCCTCTTTGCTGGCTCGTTTCCCGTGGGATAGGATGTCAAGCAGAAGACGAGCTTGCCAACTTCTTCTGAACGTCAGTGTCCTGGTCTCGAATCTCGGTCGGGCTGCATCTCACGCCACCCAGCTCGGAAAGTATCCAATAAATCGCAAATAATCATCAAGCGGCCACCAGCGCAACACAAGACCCACATGCGTGCCGTGGCCTCAGACCCAATTGCCGACTCATCCCCGGAGGGACTGGAACAGCCTGAAGCGTCCACCTCCGCACTTCCTCAGCCGAAATTAGCCTTGCCTGGTCTCACGGAACCTGCGGACGAGCTCGTGCGGATCCGAGAGTTATTGCGCCCACCCCAGATACCTGGACTAGATAACTGGGGCATCCCACCTGCTTCAGGTGCTGCTCCGGACCCTGCCATCGCGGTGTGTCAATGAAGTAAACCGCGGCTCTACATCCGTTCATGGACGATATTTCAGGCAAAACTGGCACAGTTCCAGGCCCTGAAAAATGCTCAACCACCGAGACATTTCAATGACTCGCTCATGGGCAGTCGCGCCTTCCGCAACCCGCATCTATATGCTAAACTTGTGGAATTTGTGGACGTGGATGAACGAACAACCAACTTTCCGACAGCATTGTGGGATCCCGGAGCAATGGATGCTGCCTGGTATGCTGATGCCATCGGTGTGTCTCATTTCCATGCGGCCAGCTCTTCGGTGATTCATGCAGAAACTCTCTATAATCCTTCTTCGATCATTCCGGTCCCCGTCTCTCAAGCTGATCTTCAAAAGGCTCGATCGGAACAGCAATCTCAAGGCCAAACATCAGGAAAACGCACTCAGATCGCCTTTTCCAGTGCCGGAACTTCGTCTTCCACCACCACGAAATCTCGGCGTGAGAATGACAAGGATAGGGACAAACGGTTCCAGCCATATGGAGGTGGGAAGAGAGACAAGGAACGCGCCAGATCGGCCTGAGAATCACTTTGACTGAGCGGATAGTAAATACACATTCCTCGTCATCCATGAGCTACAGAACCAATCGTCAATCGGCTGAGGCCTCAAGTGAGGGAGGTACATAGCCAGAAATTAGGAGACATTTGGACGCGAGCACAGCAAATCAGATATAAGACATGAAATGTAAATTGCCATACACGAACGACGCGGTCCCAAAAGAACAAGAACTTTGTGCGATCATCAGAGAGGAAACATATCTTGCAGTTCCTGTACGATGCCTTCCACCTGATCGATAAAGTAGAGTAACGTCTCACACAGGGTTTCTGCCTCTACTTTGCATGGGAACTCAGCAGCAAAAAGCTCGGTCTGGAACATGGCGTGTACTTGCCTGATGATGAGTGGTCAGAGATCATGCCGGATACACAAAAGCTGTGGAGGGACGCACCCTGGTTTACACTGGCTTTCGGCCCATTCGAACGAGTCGCTGACAAAAGCACAGCAGTCCAATCCGCGATCTCGCAGCAACTCTCGTTCATCATCGTTCAAGTCATAATGGAATAGACGCGGGGACTTGGTAGTTCGGTTGTAGATCCGGTTCAAGTCGGGAAAGTACTCGCATAGACGGAGCGTGGCGTCTGCGGAACGAGGCGGATTACTGGTCCAGAGATGGTAGATATGCTTGAGGTTGATTTTAGTTTCATCCACATGGCGTTACGGATAATCGCGCACAAACTGGCAGAACTGCAGCACGACTTCGATATATATTCCTCTCAGCTCCAGATCATCTTCGAGGTGCTTCCGCAGCGACGTTTCTTCCGCTTCACTCAATTGACGAAGATTGTTCTGTTCCTTCTTGAGCTCTTCATTCCGTTTTAGAGCCTTGCGCGTCTCCTCGAGGGCTCTCCCACGATAAAACTCCACAGTCGTCGCAAAGTCCAGCAAATCGGGGATGTCGCCTAGTCGAGGAGCGTCGTCTGCGTCCAGTAGCCTCCGAAGTGCAATAGCGATGATATCAAGCGGAGGAACGCGATTCTTGAATAAAGAGTTAGGATGCTTGAGGATGTTGGATGAGATGTATGCTGTCCTGCGTCAGACCGACTGAGAAACGATATTCGAAAAAGGATCATTGCCTGAGATACGAGCGTTGGCTGCAGGGCTAGTCAAACCCTGAACCTTGATACGCTCCCGGAGCTCATGCAAGGTATCCTCCATGAATTTGAGCCCAGAATGATGACTTGACTAAGGGCCAGCCGTCGACATGAGGTCTCTCGACCTGATATAAGAGCAGGACCGAAGAGTCGACCCAACATCAATCCGATCATTGATCGATCAGTCCCACGATTGGGGACCAATTGCGGGGAAGACTAAGGAGGATTAAATGATAATGTACGCTATGTAGTGTACAAACATACAAGATCGTGAGGTGTGCTAATGCTACGGATGGTTGGATATGGAAAAGTGTAATGCGATCGTCATGGTCCGAGAAAGGCTTCATTATATGCGCTCGAGCAGACCGCATTCTATCGTAAATCATGAATGGAAGATCCGGACAAGTCGTGTCGTGATAGTCGTGATTTCGGGAATTGGCTGGATATCGTTTATCGAGTCGGACTCGGAACTTTGCTTTTCCCAGCGGCGGAAGCAGCCGCGGCAGCGCTCTGCTTCACTTTCGACAATGGGGAGAGCGGGGATTGATGGGTACCTGGACGACTGGGCCGGACACCACAGTCCCTGGGCGCAACTTCTCCGCATTTGATATGCGCTCTGCAAAAAAAGATCAGCGCGGCCACAGTAAATGATAAAAGGAACACACCGCAGCCCACAATCATCGCATTCCAAGACGGGCTTCCATCCCAGGCGCTTCAGACAGATGTCGCACTTGGCTACCAACAGGCCACTGGAAAAGAACAGATCGAGGGGATTCCAGCCAGAGGCGGCGACCTCCGCTTGAGCACTTGCTGTGGGGGACACAGTTCCACTCGATGTCTTCCTGGGCTTGGCGCCTGGTTTGAGAAGAGTGAATCGATGGACCAACGGGGCCGTGTAGTTTCCATGAAGAGACCGAATTGTCGATCCGCCTTCAGTCGCATAAGCCGACGAGATTGCCGACGCAGTATGGGCCGTGTGATAAGAGTCGAGAGACGCGATGGACAGCACCGACCCAGCGAGAGGATCTGCGTCGGAATCCGAAAAGGAACGATCATGGGATGCTGGCAGAACAGGTACCGGAGTCTCGTTGGGATTCGGAGAGGCACGGACGGTGAGAACAGATGATAAAGAGGGAAGCTGGCTGCTGGAAACGCCACTGGGACCGCGGATGACAGTGGTGCTGTACTCCGAAAAGGCCGAAGGGGCGCCCTGCTCGAGAAGAGGTTCGTGACCTGTTTTGAGATGAGGAGTCTGCGATTGCAAACAATAAGTACAACATACCATTCGACCAATCACTGCCAACGCCCACACTCGAGAGACCGGCAACAGCTTCCATGAGCTCATCGTCGCTGTCATCGTTGCTGCTTTCCGAGTTATGCAGGCTGCTGCTGCGAATATCTTTACCAACCCCCATGCCGAAGCTCGGGATCCGAGGGGCTGGACCAGCACGTTTACCAGCCGTCATCAACTTGATGCTGCCCACGTGTAAGTCTTCGCCTTCGTTAGGGCGAGCGAGGACCTCAGCCTCGATGGCTCGCAAACGCTCTAGAACTGCACGGGTGGTTGGTCGAGCAGACGGCTCCGTGGCACAGCAGTCGATGGCAAGCTGCAAAAATGCCGGAGGGCACCCGGGACTAGCGAGTTTGTGGACTTCTTCGGGGTCGATGCCAAAGCTGGGAGGATACCGCTTGAAGTGATGGTCGTCGGCTAGCCTTCGCGCGGCGATCTCACAGAATATGACACCCAATGAGAATATATCGGTCGGAAGGTCGAACTCGTCGCCCATCAGAATCTCTGGGGACATGTACGAATCCGTGCCACAAAAGGTCAGACGCTTCGACTCATCGTCATTCCGCGCGGCGATCCGAGCGAATCCAAAGTCCGTAAGTTTGAGCCGGCCGTTCGATGTCACAAGAAGGTTCTCGCCCTTGAGATCTCGATGGATGCACTTGCGCGCATGCAGGTACGCCAGGGCACGGGTAATGTCCGTTGCGAAGGAAAGGCGAAGTCGCCAGGGGAATGGTTTGGACTTGTCGTGAATGTAGACACGGAGATTCCCGTTCTCGACGAATTCGGAGATGATAAAGATACGATTGTCGGGCTCAGGAGCGCGAGACAGTCCCTGTGGTAACATGAATGCGGCCTAGATGCGGAGAAAGGCTACGCACGATATACAAGCAGCAGTTCGGGTGTCTCGTCTCTTTCATGAGACGCCATTCACGTTCGAAATACTTGGCGACGTCATATTCGGTGGACGGTAGCACTTCCTTGATGGCGACCTCGATGCCAAGGTAGTTTCCTGGGGCGCAGTAAGAACCAAGGTATGCTACACGGCGAAGCACTTGGGCACGCACCTTTGTAGACGTTACCGAAAGATCCTGCACCTAGTTTCTTCCAGTCGCCTTTGATGTCCTGTGAGACAGCGATCAATATCGGAACGAACGCGATCGGAACCCGCTGAGTGAACGCGTTGGAATGCAGATGGCTCTCCCTCCGGTATGGCTCGTACACATCATCCGGGCCGAGGAATACGACGAGGAGGGGCAAAACGAAAGAGAAATGAGACGAACGGCATAGGGGATCACATCGAAAGCGTCCGAGTGCATCTTGAGGAGAAAGTGAGAGGCGGATGCTCTTCCAACGTAGGGACAGGCTGCGAGGCGGGTTAAGATCGATTAGGCGATGTTGCCGCTGGAGACAACAGCAGAAGGCGGTGGTCACTGGTCACCTCCAAGTCACTGGATGACATATATTAGTCACGACGCTTTGATGGCGACGCCCTTGAAACGCGCTTGGGCCGCCGCCCCAGCGTGCCAGCGCGACGTCATTTTGCTGAGAGAGATTATCCGGTCCTTTTCCAATGGTCATGGACATTGGACAAGGCTTGATATTATTTAATTTTCGCTCTGACCATCACTGTCAATGTGTGATGAACTTTTTTTTGCAGGTATATTTCACGCTTAATAGCCAAGATGGCTTCCAAGGATGGCAGAGGAGAATCGTGTCTGGTCGCTCGAAGTTGACATCTAGGATGAGAGGACAGTTCTCAGACGCCCCGCTCAGCTGTTGAATGACTGCTCGCTGCTATGGATCCTCAGTCGCCTATGCGGCCACCTAGTGACCCCATTTGGGCTTGCCTCGAGGACACGCTTCTATGCACTCCTTGACAGCTCTCCGGTCCAACCTGTCTTAGCTTGCGTTCGCCCATTCCTATCAGGCACCGCCTCGCCGAACTGCGGCCAGTTCTTCCTACCTCCCAGCCAGCCATCCACACTAAGCGTTGATGTGGTAGTTATCTGGCGCCACCACGACAGCAACTTATGAATGGGCGCGAGTCCAATCTTACACGTTCCCGAGTCCCAACACAGCTTCAAGTCTTCTGACGGCTCCAGGGGCGTTCAACAAGCGCCGTCCGCACATATATAACAACTGTGGAGCACTCGAAGATCTTCTGCTTATCTGCCTTCCACCCCGTCCCGATGCCCGCTTTAGTGCCTCTCGATAATAGTGTCGGTGCTCTTTCCATTGGCGTCACGGTTGCAACCATGTACGTATCCGATGCGCCCATGCGGGCCGCATCCAGCCGGTCCGTAACTCAGATCCTTTCTCAGGTTATTTGGGATCAACTGCATGCAGTCTTTTCTCTATTTCGCCGAACACAGCCAGAAAGATGGCCTTGCACTCAAGCTTTTCGTACGTGTTTAAAGGATACTCCAACCGCTTATAGTTACGTGTCCGTCAGGTTGGACTGCTCTGGTCAGACCAACCGCTTGGATAGGATCATGGCTTATCTATCTGATTACTTCGCGTGGGACAGGTTGTTGGAACTCGTCACTGCCGTCCTTATCAACCACGGCATATTCTTCTATACAGTCTCCAACTGGGGGGATCTGAGTGTCATCAACGAGCCAACCGTCTGGTGCGTGCCCTCATCGAGTAGTCTTCCATCTCAGAATCGTAAACCGGTCGCAGGAGTATTTTGGTGAGTACGAAAGCTGTGCATTATTACACTTCTGATATCTTCAATAGGTCGAAATTGGGCTCAGTGTTCGTCTCGTTTAATCTCGACCGCTGACCTTTCACTGGGTTGACCTTATGCGCAGACATTCGTAGCCCTAATGGTCCAAGGGTGAGTCGCGTTGAATGATCGAAGACTCAAAAATGAACGCGCCCAGGTTCTTCGCTCACCGAGTGTATATCCGTGCGTCTGTCCGGGAAGTCACCGTCTTTTCCACGCGCTGAAGACATGCCGTGACAGTCGGTGGCAGGAGGAAGATCCTCCCGGGAATCATAGTTCGTTGAATTCAACCTCAGCGAGCTGTTCAACACTGATGGCACGCACAGATATTTTTGACGCTAGCCCAATTTGGTCAGAATGTTCGAAAGTCATGTTATCTCAAGGGCGCTCATCATCGTTTCGTTCGACAGCAATGGGAATTGGTGAGGGCCGCTGCGTTTCCATGCTGTTGACGTATGATGCTCATCCGTTGAAAGTCTATACGAAAGTGTCGTGAGTATGCTGGTCTCCCGTCCGACCGGCCAAATGATGTCCGTCGGCTAGGTTGTCATTCAAGCGCCTTTCAGGAGGTTCAAGCGACTACGTGCGTTTCATTTTACTTGATGTGAGCCCTACCGAAATGGAACAGCCATATGTCATGCCGCTCTTTGGTCTGGAACTCTCCGCCGACATGCTGATTGCAGCGGGTTTGATATATTACCTGCGTCAACATGTGAAACGCAGCGCAATCCGGGAGTAAGCCGCCCCTTATTCTGCAGTCTCAGTGTTCTGAATAATGGTCTAGAACACAGCACATCATTTACGTGCTCATCAAATATGTCGTGAATACTTGTCAGTCGCATGTTTTCCTTGATCCTCACAGTGCGCTTATCTTTGTTGGCTGTGCGCAGGTGCACTCGAAGTGTAAGGGTCGCTGATTTCATTACACCCTGTCGATTTGACATTCTTTGCAGCTTGTGCCTGGCTCCGCTCATTGCGCTGGTATGATCAAACAGAATTTTGGACGTTGCAACATCTGATTTTTTCTTCTCCAGTGGTTCTACGAAGCCGATACGTTGATCTTCATTCCTTTTGTGCTGGTGATGCCTCGAGGTAATGTCGACAGTTTCAAGGGAGCGATGGTTCTCAAGGCAATTCTTTTCAGTATACTCTCTATCGCTTCTCTGCTCGTAAGTGGTCACTGCCCGAGTCAACTATCTGATGAACGATGAATTAGTTTGAATAATCGAGACAATCTGCGAGAGATTTCAAACGTCAACCCGGATATCGACTTGTCCATTCACTCTGCCGCTTTCCGCACGGGCGAGAACATCTACAGAAGTCACGTGGAACTGTCTCCCACCACCTCGACCAAGAGCGCCACTCGAATATACTTGCATCACAGTGTGATCACCGATGGAGAACGCCCTGAATCTATTGCCGGTCCTTTCACCCCGAAGATGGCCGTTTGAAAGCGCGAGAGCGTGATGTAAATTTGTAAATGTAATACCAATATAACTACCTACGAGTACCAGTCCTGTAGATACGATAATGACAAGTCCCGGAATCTTGTGCTTTACGTGGTGGAAAATTTTAGGAGACGAAATTCCCGTTTCTGTACGGATCGGGGGTCAGTCGAACCAAGACAGGTGCTTACTTAGTCAAGATAGGTTCCTCAAATACCTCGCTGGATTGGTAATCCCTGATGCGAAAGTCGCCGCGAACCCTGTATCAATATCTATTCATTGTGCTTATCATATGTACGTATGGGTACTCGGTGATGAGTGGACGAGTGGGAGGTTGCGACTCTGAGTGAAAAGGTGAACATCGTTGACCGGATCAGCTATAATGTTCCGAGATCAGGGAGCTATGATCATGAATGACGTCACGCGTGCGAGCAACTAAGCGCTCCTCGGGCAAGATCGCGCCCAGATACGATTTTGCTTCTTCCTCCCTCGACCTTTCATTCAAACCATGACCTCTAATCCTTCTCTCGCGAACTGGGTCCAAACGCAAATGAAGGCGATATACGCACCAGATCCACACACCCAGGCCGATCTGCAAAGCGTGCTGGATGACTCGTTCTCGCCTGACGCAGACATCCAAGTCGACGGCGCATCGATGACGCTCGACGACTTCAAGGGCTCCGTGGAGAGCCATCGGGGAGGCACGGCGAACATATCTCTGAGCTCAGATCCCGAGGAATTCAAGGTGGTTCACACGGCGGGCCAATCCGGGGTAATGCACTCGCCCCACGGACCGATCGTATGCTCATCTTGACGTACACTTGTAGGCGGACTCTACCGTCTCCGGGAAGATGACTCTTGTTAGAACCCATCCGTGGCTTGTCAGAGCTGCCCCAGCCCAAACAAGCACAGAAATCACTTTCGATGCCCAGTGGGTTAAATGATCTTCCTGGGGAGAATTCAGATCCTCATCGAAGCTTGCCCAGAGTTGCATCGAATCCGAAGCCCCAAATTGTTCAGCTGGTCCAGAAGTCCGTCCACAAGCCGGTGCAAGTCCATTTGGCGCCTGTCAGAAATTTATAAGTCGAGGAGGCATGTGATGATAATTTTGTGTGTACTAGTGGTAGCACCATGTACCATATGTAGGGTCGATCCCGTGCTTCAATGTGCGGTCTTTCCATCCCCTTTTCATACACCTGAGCCACTAGACACGTCCATCGGACTGTTCGCCATGTCATAAGTGTCCCTTTGCGCGTGTTTACATAGCGTTGAAGAGTCGAAACAATTACCGGATGGGGTGTCTCAAACACTCCGTCGTGTCACAGAGCTTCTTGAAAATTTCACGGATTTTGGGAGAAGAGATATTCGGCCGAGGGAGGCACCTGCAGCTCTGACACAAAACGGGCTGTCTAATAAAGGGTGCCCCACGTGAGGTGCGCTGTTCTCGTTCTGCAGATACATAACCTTTTAACATTTAGATCATCCGGCGCTTAGCGTTAAGACTTGCCCGCATTCAAACCACTGCTTACAAAGCGCAGCGCCGACACTCGCGCTCTCGGTCCCGCCACCGAGGATCCGAAGCTGCTGGTCCACGTCAGACCCAGGATCAGCGTGTTCGTGGGTGGGACATCCATTTCCATTCGAACGCTCTTCGGGCGCCGTCGGACCGGTCTACGATCGTGTGCTCTACGCCTCTCTGCGGCTAGTCTCCCAGGTGTCTAGTGGAGGGATATCGGCGTTGTGCTTACCACACTTTCCCGGCGGAAAATTTGAAACGGCACACCCCCAAATGGATTCGATCAAACCGAATCGTACAGCTGTATTACATATGGGTCCGCAACCACAGAGCGACAGCGCGTCTTTACCTTTCCCCAGTACGTAGTCCGTGTAGATTAATTCAGGGAGCTGGTGTCGAATTCAGAAGGCTTTACAACCGCAAGTTTGGGAACAGACTGACCAGCCATTGAATCAACCCGACACTTGAAACTCCTGCGTCGCCGCCTCCACCTCCGCGGTCGCCGACGTCCATGGCCGGTTGCAGGACACATATTCAGGAGGTCCTCTGAAACCATGACGCGGCGAGATCGGTGTCGAAGGGACAAATATACTGACTATTGTCTCCGAAAACAAGAGAGCCTGCCCAGCCTATCTCGCGAGGCTGCAGGCTATTTGCGAGGAGTCAGACTCCTTGTCAGGGAGCCGAGCATCGAAGAGCTGAGCTCGAAGTAGAGAAGGGAGCCAGTTCCCCTGGATTCATTCGCGTTCGTGTTTCGGAGGCACGTGATACCACAACTTGTACTCCAACCCTGAGGTTGCTCGCGTGGCCGTAGAGATATGTCGGTATTTCATTTGTTGCCGACGTGACCATCCGTCAACAACCCGGTCATAAAGAGCTTGACCTTGAGCAGCGGAAAACATATCTCATACCAACTGCTGCCACTCAACTTGGCTCACCTTCCAAGCTTCCTTCCGTTGATTAATACGGCGTCTTCCTTCCTTTCACTATTCTTCTGGACCCGGCTTACTTATCCCTTCTGTCTTCTTTCACTCCAATGCGCACGTCAAGATCACGATCCACGACCATTACGACGCCCACCTATAATAATGAACTGACCGACCAGAACACACCAGCACGTCCATCCTCGCCTATGCCCGCGAAACACGACACCACGCTCGATGCCGTCCTGGACCGTTTCCAGCGGTTGTCCTGCACCACCGAGCCGCGCACCCCTCTCTCACCACTGGGGCCGCCATTCGTTCTGGACGACCTCGACATGAAGCCTTTCCACACCCAACGCCTAGGGCATTGTAACGCACTCGACCTCTCCCCCCAGTCCTCCGTCTCCTCGCGTAGCAGCCTCAGCTCGGCTTCGTCCGTCGGCACGCTCTTCGACGCATTCGTGCGCACGCAATCGAGGGTGGTCCGGGTACGTCCCCGGCTGCGTCCGCGCTTCGTTAGCTGTCAAACTTGACGCGTGTTCGTCCCAGTGCTTCAACCTACCTCCGGCGCCCCACGCGCTGCTCTCCTCCGTGTTGTTTCAGACGGTGCGTTTACAGTTTTTGAGTTCACGTGGAAAATTCTTCCCCCGCGATCTCGTTTTCCCGGTATCCACTGAGACAGACGTTCCTAGGGCCTGGACCCGGCGACAATGTGGGTCCTCCGAGTCCCCACAGCCGATCTCGATGTCTGGATGGTATTTCAAACGCATGCCGAGGTCAGTAAATAATAATATATTCCCCGATCTGACTCGACCACGTGATTTGACGATCGGCCGTTCCTGGCAACGAGTCACGACGTTGACTCTGAGACCGGTCCCTCCCACGCTCCTGCATACATCTCACCCGTCTCTCTTCTCGTTATCAGTCAAATCTTGAGTCAAACAATCAGAATATCATTTAAAACTGATGCGATCCACAGGCATGCGCTGCTCTTTCCCTCTCCTCGTCTCGCATGTCGGTCGCACCCGCCCTTGAATCCGATTTGGAGCCGCTTTCCATGCTTAAGCGATTTGAGCTTGGGTCTAATGCCATGGTGCGTCGTGTGTTACGTTTTTCTAACTTGTTCTCGGGTTCACGAGCTGTCAATTATAGCCTGCCCAAGTCTATATGAGTGGTCCTCAACGCGTGATTCGGCCCTCGATGCACGTCCTAGGTGGCAACACAGCGGACCATCATGCAGCTAGTGGCGCGTCCACCTCAGCGGAAGAATACACGATGTCGAGCAACCCACCCAACCCACGCACCAGTTTCCGCATGGGGGATTGGATGTGAGTGTTCAGTTCTTTTCTTTGTCCATTCTACATCAGATCTGCCCCTTGCCATAAGATGCACAGCCATCGCTGTCTTTGTTCCTGCAGAACTTCGAATTTGACTTTTCTCCTTTCGTGTTCGCCAATCTCACACGCTGACGTATTTATCCATTGCAGATGTCGCTCACCGAACTGTGCCGCGCATAATTTTGGGTGAGACTTCTCCGATCGCAATTTTCAATTCGCGTGGATATAAGAACTGTTGCCTCGCTCGACTTTTCTCCCATTCCCCATTGCCCATCTCGATGCTAACCGAATCTTTTCCCTTGCACAGACGTAACGTGGCATGCATCGGCTGTGGATGCGCTCGTTCGACTGCTCCCGGACATAGCGCCACCGCCCACGATCACAATCAGCATCCATATCATGGGCCTCAGTACACCTCGTCGACTCCTCGCTCGCCACTTTCCCCGCGTTTCGCTGCTGCCTCCAACATGAGTTTCCAGCCTCCCTACCCGCAGTCGTCCCCCGCTCCCGCCCCCCGCCAAGTCCCAGGCTACATGCAGCCAGTGCTCCACCTCCCGCTTCCCGCTGCGCTTGCGACTGTCGCGGCGCGCCAAGCGTCCTCTCCGCACCCGCTCCTCACACCGTCCGGGCGGGCGTTCGCCGTCGGGGGTAAGGTTCAGAACGTGTCGACGGACCCGCTTTCGCCGTGCATCATGTACTGGCCCGACAACGAGCCCCTTCCGGAGCAAGGGCAAATTCGCCCGGGGTCTTTGACAGGTATCACCGTGCGTCATGTCTATGCAGCGCGCTCGGATTTTCGTGCTGATCGCCGACACATAGCAACCACCGATCCTAAACACTGGCAACAAAGGCCCGATATCCCACGTGAGTTCTGCGGGCCGGCGCGATCGTTTTTTTTGCTGACCTCTTTTTCTTTCGTGTGCAGCAACCGGGAGATTGGATTTGTCAGAAGTGCAATTACTTGAACTGGCGCCGCCGGAAGGTCTGCCAGACTTGTCTGCCATGTACGTCTGCGAAGCTACGATCTGCTACATCCGTTGACATGTCACCACTAGATGCAGAAGGAAATGGAGATTCGGTATCGGCCTCAGTTCAGGCTGAACGTATCGCGCTGTTGACCTCGGCACTCGTCCGATCCCAATCTCCGGCGGCGCTTCCTCACCATGTTGGACGGTCGCAGTCTGCGACGCCGGCCCAGGTCCAGCGTCCATTTGTGAACGTATCCCCGCCGCAGCCAATCAGAGCCCCGGTCCATCGCTCGCAGTCGCACATCGAACTCGGAAGTCACTATATGCAGACCCACCCGATCTACCAGACGGCGATCGCATCGCCGCAGCGCCAGCCTCGTCTGCCCAGCCCGTTGCAGCGTCATGCCTTGACATTCGGCACGGAGGGGCTCGATCTGCATGCCCCGGCACCGCTTCTGCCGTCTTTCCTTCAAGACATTGTTCAGTCCCCGACGCTCTCGCCGTCGTCGACATCGTCTGCGGATCTCTCGTTGGAAGAGTACGAAGACAGTCTCCCGTCGTCTACCAAGTCGACTTTCTCACAGTCGGGCGCGGATTCTGTCAACGCCTCGCCGCTTGCCAATATCTGGCGTTTGGACGGGGAGGAGAGCCGGTGTCTCAAGACGGGATTCCTTGGCAGCGCGTCGAGCAGTCGGAACAGCAGCCTTGAGCGGCTTCGTTTGCATTCATCTTAATCGTCCGTGATTTCTCCGTTTTTGCGCTTGTCCTGTGCCTGCTCACTGTTGCGTAGGGACTATCAGCATCACATTGACATTGGAATCATTCTGCATCTTGACCTTCAGCGCGTCGTGGAACGGCCGGAATTTGTTTTGTGGATCAACCGGGCCGTGCGAGCATGCCTGTGGCTTCTGTGGCGGTTTCGCCTTTTGCTCCCCCCCAAAAAATGAGCGCGCGCTGCCCACGGTCATCCACGTTTGGAATTTTGGAATTTCTGGTCTGGTATACCATTCCCACCTAATCTACTTGCACACATTCCCCCAAGCTAATGCCCCCTGTTGTCCTGACGGCCACATTCTTACATATATCTTACATACACAGCATCTGCGCCACGTCTTGTACTCGAATCATGTGTTAATACCGCCTCATGTATCTTAGTCGTTATCTTGCTGCTCTGATTGTTTCTCGAGTTTCAGCCACATTCCGGCACTGCCACGGTCCAAGCGTGAGATAGCCTGCCACATATGGCAAATATGGTGGCATCATGGCTGCGCTTCCATTGATCCCTGAAGTCGATTGTTGCGAAGATGAGTACCGTGTATGATGTGTATCGTGTATACATGATGTAGCTGGATCTGCTGTCTGTCGCTCTAGATCAAACGTCCACAAGTACATTCACCTGACACGTCGTAGCGGCTCGAGTTTGGGCTCCGCGCGTCCCGGGGTGCGGGTGTTGCTTCCGCGCATCTCCCGCTCGGATGGCCAGGTAGGGTAACTGTCCTTGGCATCATAGGGCAGCACGTCGTACCCAGCATGCTCCAGCCGCGCTTCGTGCTGGTGCGGTTGCGGGTGCAATCTCGCAGAAGACGACGAGCTCGCTTGCGATGCACTGCCACTGGGTGGCCAGGACGGGAGTGCGTCCTTGGCGTCGTATGTCATCACGGAATACCCGCCTTGCTCCAAGCCTGACACATCCCGGCGAGCGGGGGGCCGGTTTGGTAGCGCATCGATTGGACAGGGCGGAGTGCTTCTGCTTCGTCCGAACGTCGGGAGGCAGCTGCCCTGCTCGGTCACAGAAGCTGAATCAGACGCAAGGTCAGGCGGCAGTGGCGCGGTTGGCCTCCGACGCGGGGGAAGAGGCGGGGGAGTCCGCGGAGCAGTCGCCGCCGACGGCGGGAAATACGACTCGGGTACGGGAACAGTGAGATATGCACCCGGGCTGCGGGGATATCCACTGACTGTGGCCGACGTCTGCGCGCTGAACGTGGGACGAGGGTAAACTGTGTTCGTAGACGACGTCGACGCCGACGCCGACCTGTTCGTCATAAATGCGGGCGAGATGCGATCGCTCCCGTCTTTGCGTCTGCTGCTGGGATCCACGCCGGCTCCGAGACCCGCAAAACCTGGGTCCGGGGCATCTTCCGGCGGCGTTCTATGCGCTGATTGCGGTCCAACGGGATCCTCGTAGAATTTGTCGAACGGCGTGGATCGCGTGGACGGATTGCGGTGCGGATTTTGTGGCTGCGGGCCGACGGGGATCCCCGAGAAGGAGCGGCGGTACCAGCCCGAGAGAGATGCCGAGCGCGGACGCTCGTCATACTGCGAGATCGGTCGGGAGTTTTGCTGTCCAGAGTTAAGAGGTGCGGCTGTGAAACGCGTTTGCTCTCATCAGAGACCCGAATGTCGCTGAAGCTCACGCGGGAGATCCGTGGGCACACCCCTGATTCTCGCCAAACCCTGGGCAATTTGGTGTCTGCCGCGGCCTGCGATCTCATCGCTCGACGAGAATCTGTGGGGCCCAAAATCGCTTGCGCCGAGCGTTCCACGGAGCGTGTCTGTAAGCCCTTGTCCGATCTGAACCGCGCCGCGAATCTTCGTGCTCCAGCTGACATTGGTCGAATTACGAGACAACCCGGGATTGGGACGCGTGAAGGCGTCGCCACCATCGTTGTACGGTCTGTGCATGAGAGTCTCTGTCTGAGATGCGAGTGGGTTCAGTGGGGCCTTCCCTTTGAGGTCATAGGACGCGTCTTGACATCATCACCAGAAGGACACGGTCACCTGATCGATATTCATCACTCTCGAGTATCCTCCAGTCCTGGTTTCTTTGCATACTTTACAAACCCGCCGTGTAGAACCGTAGGTACTTATTTACGCGCAAGACACGAACGCGGTCACGTGAAGCGATTGAGGAACAGGCAACCATTGCCAAGGAAGCGTCAACACTACGAAGACCCATTCTCTTTTCCGAAATGAGCTTTAGGTAATCAGGCAAACTTATGTCCGACCCCGGACGGATCTCCCAGAACGCATGGGCCGGCGGTACAGATGATGACGCGGTTGTAACTCTTGCGGTTAAATAGTGAAATCGGGCGTCCACATGGGACTCGGAACCACATCCTGCACGCGTGGCAGCCGGGCGAAACCCACTTCACGGAATTTCTATGATCGGAGCAGCGCTTTGTCTCCGCGAGAGAAAATTTACTCAACTTGCAGCCAAAACCTTTGGACCGGAGAAGGAAGGGAATCTGGAGATCACTGATCAGACTCGGCATGCGCGGGATTCCGGGCCGAGTCACTTCTGATGCGACCTTCACCGAGGCTGAGGGCGTTTGTGCAGCCTAGACTCTGCTCGCTGCCGGCACGGACTCAGCGGCTCTTCTCAACTTCCAATCTCGCTCGAAATGCTGCAACACTCCAGCAGACGACAGTCGCAAAAGAGACCCGGGACATTGATGAGATTGACAAGCTTCTGGCGTCCATACGTGCGTTGTGGGCTCTAACTCCGAGGCTTGAAGCTTCAGGAGATGGACTGGAAGATTCGTTTACACTCGTGAATAGGGATGAAGGCGAACCCGGCGTACAATTCGTGAGTGCATCACTTCAAACATACCCGTGCGATGTTCCTAAAGGCCCCAGCATCATGCCGATGCGCGTCCCCGCACTTTGGGCCGAGTCCGTTCTGCACGCGGAAGACCACACAGCGTCAGCAACCCGCCCCAAGCGCAACGATTCACTTGTGCCTCGACGTATGCACGACTCCTATTGTGAACTGGTGCTCCCCTTCTCCGACCCCACCTTTCTCGAAGGATACACCAATGTCCACGGAGGGATTCGGATGGGGAAGTGAGTGACTGATAGATCGGAGGACATTTCTCGTGTTCAACGTCCGGAATAGAATCATGGAACACCTCGACTCGCTTGCAGGGTCAATCTCGTACAAACATGTCCTAGGGCCCGACGTACAAAGTCTGGGATCTATCCAGGATGTGGGATTCTACATGGTGACAGCGTCCGTTGACCGGTGAGTGCCGTCGCTCTGTGCTCTGCATATCATCGCGTGCTCAAAATTCATCGCCAGGCTTGACATGCTCTGTCCTTTGGAGCCCAGCCGCGACGTGCGAATCAGCGGCCAGGTAATGTACACAGGGAAGTCGTCCATGGAGATCGCGGTGAAAGTCGAGACTATCAGCGGCGGCGCCGAGCAGACGGTTCTCCTAGGTATGATCTTGGAGTGGATTTGGCGGAAGCGTACTTATGATCGAGTCCAGGACGTTTTTCGATGGTCTGCCGCGACGCGGTCACCCACAAGGCCCGTACGATCAATCCCTTGATCATTTCGACACCGGATGAAGAAGCGCTCCACACCAGAGGAGAAGGCAAGTCGTGTGTGGCTACCGAAATCGCGCTCATTTAAGCGTCGTCCTAGAAATCAAGAACGGACGTCGATCGCAGGCCTTGAAGTCTCTGGCTCGCGTGCCTCCTAGCTCCGACGAGGCTGAGCTCTTGCACGCCTTCATGCTGAAGTACGGTCAAGATCTGAGTGAGGGGTCGCACGAACGGGTCTGGATGGGGGACACTAAACTCGACCGGTGCATGTTGATGTTTCCGCAAGAGAGAAAGTGGGTATCCCGCTTCTTCCCTGTGCGCGGGCTTCACATGTCCATTCTAGCGTCCACCAGAAGATCTTTGGTGGATATCTCATGCGTCTCGGATATGAGGTTCGTGTCCCTGGAGTCACATACCTATTTCTGACTTGCTGAAGCTCGGGTTCTCCAACGCGAGCATGTTCTTCCGCGGCGGGCATATCCGTTTCCTTTCGTTGGATGGCATCTCGTTCTCAGAACCTGTTCCCATTGGATCCATCTTGCGCCTTTCCTCGTATGTTCTCCACTCGACGTCGACTGAAGGATTGCACCCCACAGTCGTGAGTTTGATTGCGAATGACGAAGATTCGTTCAGCTGCTTACGACTACTAGCACGTGGCTGTTACCGCAAATGTCGTGGACGTAGAGACTGGCCAAGAGCGGACGACGAACGAGTTTCGGTTCACGTGGTGTCGGGATGATGAGCGTGCGAGCATTGGCGCTGCGCGAATAGTGGTGCCGAAAACGTATAAAGGTGGGATCTTGTCTAATCTTTCTTGATCTGATCTGATATCTGACCTTTTTCATCTTATCTTATCAGAGGCGATGCTTTGGTTGGAGGGCAAGCGTGCTTTAGAAATCGGAGATGAGATGCGAGGAATGCGGACCAGGATCCTAATCTAGAGCCTTTATATCCCGGGTTTCTTTGGTAGAAGTATTCACTAATGTCGCAGGTGGTAATTAGAAACAGATCCACTAACGCTCCGGTTTGAAAGGGTAATCTAAAGAAGACACTCAGAGATCCCTAGAGCGCTCAGTGACTTGATATCCTGTCTACATTGCTTGCTTGTAGCTTCGGTGAGTTCGTGAGCCCTGTACATCCGGCCCCCTGCCTCTCTACCAACGTTTGCATCAATTGATTTGACTAGACGATTCACACGATTTCAAGACTAGTGATGGCTATCATGCACTCATCCTCGACAACGTGCATGTCTCTAGCTCTGACAAGCACGGATTACCCTTGGCTGCATCCCTCGCGTCTCTACGCAGCATTGGTTATCTAAGCTTTGAAATCTTTCAATCATTTGGCGATGCCTCTCAAGTTCAACGCAAAACGCGTTTTGCGCCAAAACTCGGACACGGCCGTGCAGCTTGCAATCTCCATCACATCCCTAACGAGAGATCTTTCGGGACTCTCTGGTTTCCCACCAGCGGCTGCGTTGGCATCCATAGTGCTGTTGATACTCCAAGTTGCTCAGGTGCGGTCCCACGAAGAAGGGCGCGTTCCGCGGGAGCTGATTAGGATTGCAGAGCCTGCAAGTGTGTCCGTCTCCCCGGATTGTATGGGACCGACGACTGATTAGATGATCGCACCAGACGAACAAGGAGGGCTGCACACGCCTCGCACAAAAGTGCGCGACGATTCTGTTGAACATCAACGAACAGATGGCGGGGCGATGGGAGCAGGCACCCCAATCATTGGTGAAGAACCTGGCACGGCTCAAGGAGTGAGTTTTCCATGAGGTTGGCGGCTATCTTCTACTCGCTTACGTTGGTCAAAAGCACGCTCGAGTCGATACACACATTCATGCTCGATGCCGCGTCCGGTAGCTGGCGAACGCGGCTCCTGCGTAAGAACACCATAGATGACGCGTTGCTACAATTCCGAGAACAGTTGGACGACGCGTCGAAGACATTTCAGGTGAGGTTCCACCCTCGAAAGATGACTTCGTCAACATCTCAACGCGCTCTCCAAGCTTGCTACACTCATTGAAATTCACTATGCGGTCTCTTCCACTGACGCTCAACCGGTCGCACGTCGCCCTCCGCAACTTTGTCTCGAGACTACGCAGGAGAGCGACGTACCCATGGCAGTTTCGAAACCTTCATTGGATCTTGTACTGTCTCCGATCGGAGCACCACCGCCGATGTACAACTTCGAAGCAATCTCTGAAGAAGCGCATATCGAGGCAGAGGACCTTGCGCTCGAAATTGTTTCCGACGAGGTTCTCAACGCTCGAATGGAGGACCGCGGTGCGGTGACGGATCATGGTGTAGTGGAAGATCACGGTGTGGTGGAAGATCATGGCGTGAATGAGCATTATCCGTGTCATGATAAGGGCTAACTGTCTCGTGCAGTTCACCCGCTATCATCAATCTCATGTCACGTTCAGCGGAAGGCCCAAGAAAGACATGGAAGGCTGGTGGACTGGGGCAAGCGACGTCGTGGTAAACGGGCAAGACGCATTGATCAAACGGTACGAAGGACCCAGAACCCATGCGCAGAGGGTAAGGACGAGCCGAGTTTGTGGCGCACATTTTGAACAAACATTGAATGAATACGCCAGGATTGGGCACGTGATGTGAAGGCGCTTCAAGGGCTCTAGTGAGTTGAATAAGAGTTTTCGTAAAATCCAAGATAGTCATGAGTTCTGCAGTCATCCGAATTTACCGCAGTTGATGGGTTTCTCTGAAGATTCTGCCAAAACTCCTTTCATCCTTCTGTCAAATGTGCGAACGCGTTCTCCCGAATCATTCCTCATGGGAATGCTGAGAACGCATGGGCTGGCTTCATGCATCGAGAGCATGCTGCGTTTCGTTCGTCAATAAGCCACTCCTGTTTATCCGATTATGCTCAAAAACCGCGCAGTATACAGATATCGTGAGTGCAACCATCTACGTGCAGGGACAACTCGGTCTCTCTGAAGAACAAGCGCAAGATTTCTTAGAGGTGCGACTATCGCCACTGACCAGGTTCACGTCTGAAATCGGTGTTCAGAGTGCCTCGTTCCGTGTCGATGGCTCGAACTCTCTGGTTGTCGGACTGCCATCAAAGGACCGAGCTTCGTTGACCTGGCGGAATTACGGTATCGCTGAGACCGTCAGGAAGTCGGTTCTTCGTGTGAGCTCATTAATTTGCTATACATATATTGCTTCGCACTCAACGGGATTCGTTTGGCAGATGTTACCCAACGGAGGAACATCCAATTATCGACGAGACGTTGTGAGAGGTTCGCATCGATATCTTACGTTTACTTGTGACCTGAATCTCTCCGTAGTGGACGATGACCCTGAGTGGCATCTTGACCAATTGACTGCGCTCGTGGATGCCCTCCTTCCTTCGGGAAAAGCGCCTCTGGGCTTGTCCAAACAGCTCCAATCTGCGCTGGACGACTGCGATTCGTATGAAAACACGAGCATAACGCTCCCTCGCCTCCGTCGACTGTGTCTCGACGCCCAGTCGCACAGCCATGTGTGGGCCAAGAGCTCGTCTATTCCGGGCGGCAAGTTCTCCGTCGGCGATATCGGCTACATCCCACTCGGAGCCGACTGGAACGGGTTCGTTAGCAAGCACAACGTCATCCAGCAGGGTTTGGCCAGTTTCGACATCGAGAGCTCGGCGTCGGGAACGCAGTGGTGCTGGAATGACCGACCGGTACGGAGGAGCGAATTGGGCGCGTTCGATATGCTGGGGGATGTCAAGTGTTGGGCGATGGGCGTTCCTCCGGGTGCTCAGGTCGACTGCCAGATCACACACCGCAAGGTCTTGAAGGAGATGGGCGACGCATGGAGATTCCTCCTGGATAATGCGAGGAAGCTTTCTGAAGAGTGGGGTGTTCCGCCCAGTTCCATCATATTCAGTGCGTGTCCGTCATTTCCCAAGGAATCCACCCGCACTCAGTACCTCTCAAGTCACGCAGGCGGGGACGGATCAAGACTTTAGCATCAACGACTTTGGGCAAGCAGTGCAACTGAGGTTACCTCGGCCTGGGTTTCCTCCGAATCGACCTGGCATGTCGATGCCTCCGCTGTTCCCGAATCAAGTTTCGGTGCCGTCCGTGATGTATCTCTCCACATCCGCGAGTCCCGAATTCGAGCCCTTCTGGTCTCACAGTCCCGCCGACAAGATGCTGAAGCATGGATGGACATTCAAAATCGGATGGAAGACGGGGTTCATAAACTGGGCGCAGTTGCATCCGGAGGATTTCAGAGATCAGAAGTAACTCTTTTTCAGTCTGTATGTTAGTATCTATTTCCTCTTCTTGAATTCGAGCTCGCAAGAATGTACCGAAAGAGTCGTGTTCGGAGAGAGAATCGACGAATCGACCGCAATCCTGAGGCGACAGGATGGGAACAGCCTCAGCTCGCGTGACGGCCAAGGCCAACCACGAATCGAGACACGGGTAGGCTTCGCTGAGAGCCTTGTCTTCGGCCGACAACTGTCAGGCTAGGGAGTGATGGGCCCCGCTTACATACCAAGCTGCGTTGAGTCTGACTGCTGCGGTTTCGTAGACAGCGATGATTCGAGGGTCCAGCTTGGCAGCAACGGCAGCGTCATAGGCTATACAATGTCCGATGGGTCTCACCATGGTCTCCGTACGAGGCAGAATGAGTCGAGAGAAGACGTCGCCGCGAGACTTGATTAAGCCAGATACCAGCTGTGGAAACTCGGTGAAAAGCCCCGCTTCGAATCGTGCCAATAGGCTGACTGGATTTTCCGCGGAAGAATCACATAACGGCCGACAAGCAGTTCTCCCTCCAGGCGTATCATTCTATGAGCTCTTCGAGGACGCCGAAAAGCGGCCAAGACGGACGGACGGACACCACAAGTAGATCTCCGACTTCGGCGATTCCAATCCCTCGTAGAATGCCTTGAGACCGCCCAGGTTGGAGGCAAGCATTGCGAAGACGCGAAGGGCTCGCCGGCTGGTTGATGAGGTCGCTGAACTGGAAAAGACCGCGCGCACCGAGCCACTCGGACAGCTCCATATTGGCGCTCTGAGAATGATGAATGATGGACGAGGACGCACTTGGTGACAACGGAAAAGGCATGGCGGATGCGATGGTGTGGGAGGCCAGATCTGGTGTCTTGCTCCACAGCGCCTTGCACACGAACGCTTGTGCGAGAGCGACTAGAATAGGCGCATGCTGCGCACGGAATGCAATTATGGCTGTGCCCCCGTTAGCCCCGATCGTGCGCGTCTGTGAATATCGACCTGCGATGTAACTCGACCGCAGAAGCGACACGATGCTAAGAGAGCTGAGCGCCAATCCCCCGGATGCTGCTCGCCAGATTGCACCCAGAGGCTGGCTGCAGTGCGTCGCTTGAGTGGAGCCGCCATCTTCCAGCGAGTCAAGGGAGCCCAAGAGCGCTTCCACCGGGAGTTGCATGTGATTGAACACTGCGATGGAATGATTCACGGGGGATGTTCCATTGCGCATGGGTAAAAGCCTAGGTGAGACTAAGCAAATCCACTACTGCTCCGTCGATAGCATGCGCACTTGGTTTCGACTCCTGGATATGTTCGTTCGCCGTCTGAGATAGGGAAGATGAAAGATTGAATGCCGTGGTTGTTCCCAAGCTGCGCAAATAAAACAGCCACAGAGGAAATGCCACACAAGGGAGTGGTCGGCGACATGAACCTAGTACTTGGTTCAAACGGTCAGTGCAAGTGCCCCTGAGCCAAGTTGCAACCGCCGACTTGGCGGCTGAGCGAGCAGGTGTGTGGAGGTCAAACCCACCCCCGGGTAAGAGGGTAGCTGTCGTCTCCAGCTTGAGCGTGCCCAGACCGTGCCCAACATGAGTCAAACAGTAGTTGGCACTTAGACAAAGTCAAGAACGGTTCGGCAAAGGGAGTCCGGTACTGGCTGAACCTCAAAGCGAAGAATGTCCTCGACGGTCTGCCTCAGATAAGGTTGAGTTTTGAGATACACACAGATGGTACCGGCAGCGAGATTGGTCTGAAAGGTGAAGAACCTTGCAGCCGCTCCATCCACAAGCTTGATTGGGTCGATTTGCAAATCCGAGAATTTGCGCGAAGTCCGCTCGATGTCCTCTACTGTCAGATCTGGACGTCCCCGGTCAAAGCTGAAAACCTCGGGGAGTGCTGCTCACCTACCACCAGCGCAGGTAATCTCCTTGGCCCTTGCAAGAGAGAGTCGGACGCTCTGCTCGTAGGTCATGTTTACCCCACACGCCCTCGAGCCGGAGGGCAGCGGAAAGTAGGGAAGTTCTGATAGGGAGTACATGAGGATGTAATCGGGCACGAACAAAGGCTTGTGTTGGCTTAAATAGCAGCGAGACATGCCGCGTTTGAGGTGATGATGCTAGCTGAGAGCGGGCCTGTTCGCTTGAGACTGATCCTTTGCGAAGAGAGTGTCAGACCGGGATGATGACAAGCTAGAACTTCGGAAGGGATGTTCCGAAACGAAGTCAAGCCAAGTGTTAAGAGACACTTATAATTAGGACGACAATTTGAGAGAGGACCAGTCGTGACGATTGGTGATGGATGAAGAGTGACTCTCGGATGCAGCAATATGCGTAATGTGGCCCAAAGATTGTTCTATAGCTGCTATAACAGTAGTCACGAAACACCCGAGCCTTTCACCCGAGAGGACAGATTTCTATGAAGCCAGATGAGATGGCCGATGCGCATTGCCGCAATGCCAATTTACAATAGTAAGCAACAAGCCGATAACTCGAGACCAAGAGATATGTATTGGATGGGGTTGCTAGATGACGACAGAGTCCGTATGCCGAAGAGGACTTGGATCGGAGAACGGGAGGGATTGGAAGATTGGGACAAGCATCAGACGGACACGTGATGTCGTCAGAACTTGATTTCAACAGTGTTCGATTCCAAATGCTTGGGGATTCATTCAGCGGCGTCTCGATCTCTGAAACTGCATGCACCAGGCGTTTCGGACCGTTCATTTGAAACTCCGGTATCAAGTCTTGTAGCCCACAAAGAATTGCACAACGCTGGACCCACCGGCTCCTCTTTCAATCAGAGTACAAGGATGGGTCATCGCACACAATTCCCCTTGCTTATAACCGGGATACAATCTTCGTCGAAAGGATCTATGTCGCATTTCTCATCGCCTTTCATCACAAATTTCCCTGACATGATCTTGAAATTGCTGGTCAGTCATCTCATCCTCGGCAAGGCAATTCTCACTGCCCACCGGGATCGTTCAAGACAGACAAAAAAAGTAACTGACACTCCACCTTCAAGCTTCATGTAGCACATTAGCACACTACGCCTCCAATTTCTTTTGTGCGATCTACGCTGGCTCTGATAGCTGTCGTACTATGTATGTCTCGGGGGAGCTTTTGCGCAATCGTTTGGACGCAGCAATAGCCATTGTTCTTGAAGCTAGAGTGTTGCGTCGAGTTTCACCTTTTCTTCCTCTCTATCTATCTTCCATTTCTATACAGGTTGGCCGACCTGTCAGTGTTTGCCCAGACGCTCCGGGGCGGTCTTTCTTTCTCTGGGAAGCAACCGCACGACGAACATGGCCCTGTACTTCGGACCAGTGAGTCGATTCACAATGATCTGTCTCTGTGGCTCAGAGTCGTCGGCGGCCCAGACACTCGTTTCGTTTCATCGATGAAAACCACCAGCCAGAGATAGACGCCTTGTCCCAAGCTTTGGACAAGTCGACGGCATGCGTTATATACCCAATCCGAGGAGACAGGCTGTTCTTTCGTCAAGGATAAGATCGAGGCATGGTTCCCGACGGCGTATTTGGAATAGATCGTTTTCAGAACAGGAGCGCGGCAATTTCTGTCCCCGCTTCTACGCAGTGTCTGAAGATGTGTCCAGTCAGTCTATCAGGATATCAGTCCGCAATCACTGACCGTGTTCAACTTCGCACACTGGTCGCACATGCGTTCTCAATTTTGATCTCTCAAACAACGAGGGCTTCGATCCTCAATCTTTCCTCGCCGGCGCCAGAAACACGCGCGCAATATCATTTCTGGAACCGTTGATTGCCAATGTAGTTCCGCGAAGAAAGCATTGGCTGGCATCTCACAGAGAGCAGTACACAAGTGACCTAAAATTACATATTTTGGCAGATTGAGCGTTACGCAATCAAGCACCCCTCGCCGTCTCCTTCTCCGCCAAATAGATTACCCATACCACCCAGTGCGCCCAGCCCTGGCGGAAGTGGGCCCATAAGTTCGGAAGGTGGCGATCCATGAGATTGCATCTGCCACAGATGAGGCCGGGACTGGCAAAACTGCACATGACGACTCACCTCCGCAACTAAAGCTACAATCTTTTCACGCGACTTTTCGTTATCCACGTAGTCGGGTGCTTCGAAAAGTTTCAGAAGGGTCTTGATCGACCCAATTTGTGCAGTGTAACGGTCGAACTCCTCCTGCGAAAGAGGCTCGGCGTCAGCAGCAGGACTCGACGGTGAGTGTGCGGCGAGATATGGTGGGAACTGTGAATGAACATGAGCTAGCGGAAAATCCATCCGGCTATAAAACCCACTTTCTCGCCCAGCTCCTTCAGAGGTTCGTAAAGCACGTCCTTGCTCATCAATTCTCCCATCATGTTTTCCAGGATGCCAGCCAACGCATTCTCATCAAGATCCCCTTCTCCCCCACCGCCAAGGCCGAGCTGTGATAACATGGCTTCAAGTGAGTCTGCCGATGGATCTGCGGCACTTTGGTCGCCCATGGTGGCCTCTCCCTCTCGGACTTTACCCATCGCGGCGCGAATGGCAGACTGGAAATCCGAGGACTGAGGAGCAGCAGAGGAGGCGGAAGACCCGGGTACGGGGGAGGGATCAGAGCCTGGAGCTCCCGCGTTATTCATCCCCTCTACAAGCAGAGCTTCCCAAGCAGCCCGTAGAGCCGTTTCATCGAATTCGGGCTCAGATGTCGGCGCGTCTGGTGATTTAGCGGCAGCCTTGGACGCGTTTTCTGTGGCCATCTCACGCATGAGGGATTCCATCCCCTTGGCAAGCTCCGCAGCGAAATCGGAGGCAAGCGCATCAGCATCGATGTCGTCCTCGGCCGCTTCGGATAGCTGGGACAATGGGGGTCCGTTACCAGGCGCGGGGAGGGGAGATTCACCAACACGAGTGTTGGTCCGCGGCCTGCTTGAAGGCGGAAGGGAGGGAGGAGATAATGGGTTTGGGAGCACGGTAGGTCCCGCGGATGCGAATGATGATTGTGTGGCGGTCGGTGGCGGAGGTGGGGACGTAACAGGAGACGTCGGTTGTGGGGCCGCGAATTGATCGAGAACTTCGTCAAGCTCGTCGAGGTCCGCGTCTGTGTCTACGTTGGGCATTGTGAGATAGGCCAAACAATAAAACCGGTTGGACAAGAGATCTACTAGATACGTGACAGCAGCAGCTAGCGCAATCAAGCGTGACAGTTGTACAGCCTCACCGGCCCCCACCGTCTCATACTACAGGACTCGCACTTAGTCGCCCTTGCTCTCTTTCTTTTCCATTGTGGACTTCTGGGATTTGACATTCAATAGTTGGCAGAGTTAAGGGAGGACGCATTCCACTGGATTGGATCGGATCCAACAATTAGCCGAACACGACAACACAGCTCATTAGTTTGAGAGATGAAGAAGTTATTTGGACGGGAGCGGGATAAGGCCAAGGTAGAGTGTGCCTTTGAACTCTCCAATTACGTATTCACTCTCTGGATCCACTCTGAACGCGCCCCAGGACCTGGTCCCTCCTCCGACTCAATCTTCCCCCGCACCCACTCCAATTCACCATCAGTACACCACGCAGCGTCCTTCGGTGGACGATGAGCGCTGGGAGATGTTAAACGACTCTCACAATGCCACTGCACCTGTCCCGGCTTCTTCACGAGCACCATCGCCCTACACGGTCTCAGCCAACAGCTCTGTCCGTCAACCACCAATCCCAGCACAAGTTTCGGGAAATGGTCCTACCTCCCAGGCCCCAAAGAAGAAGGGAGGCCCTCCGGCATTGGGGATACTCAACTCCCTCGAACCGCAGCAGAACCATCATGCGCGCAATCGCTCAGAGGAGCCGTTATTTCAGGCTCAGCCTGAACCACCCAAGGAGAAGAAGGGATTCTGGAGCCGGGACAAGGAGAAGGATCGGGAAAAGGACAACAGGGACAGGGAAATTGCGCACAGGGAGAGAGAGAGAATGGAACAGGACCCACGGGACAGGGATACCCGAGAACGTGGAACAAGAGATTACGATGAGCTGACTAGGAAAATTGGTGCGTCACTCTTCCATGTTACCAGGAGAATCCGTCGTCATAGCTGCCCTGCAGGATTCCTGACAGCCACAGCGTCGGAGGACTGGACATTAGTGCTCGATGTCTGTGAACATGCGTCGTCATCCGATGCTGCGGCCAAGGAAGCTGTCCGAGCACTGCGGAGGGAGTTCAAATACGGGGAACCAGCAGCGCAACTAGCTGCTGCAAGAGTGAGTGACCATCTGATCCTCTTTCTCATTCTCTCTTACGGACTGGTTTGCTAGCTTTGGGCACTGATGCTGCGTAATTCGACCGATACCTTCATTTCGCAGTCTACTTCTCGCAAATTCCTCGACACTCTCGAAGATCTGCTTACATCTTCACGTACGGCTCCTGTTGTCAAAGAGCGCCTCATGGATGTTTTGGGGGCAGCAGCTTTCGCCAGTGGGGGCAGTGAGTCATTGTGATCATCTGACTTGAAACCCGCTGATAAATGAGAAAGAGAAGGACACTGGATTCCGTGGACTCTGGCGTCGGGTCAAACCTCGAGACCGACCCGAGGAGGGTGTTCCATTCGACCCAGAAGATGTGATGTTCAATCCGCCTTTGATGGGTAAACATCGATGCCAACGACCGTTTCGTTCTCTCAATCTGTGACACAGGGAGCGGCAATTACGGTACCAACAACATGAGGAACATGGTAGCAGGCAGAGGTGGTGCGTTTACTTTGATGGACTTGTCAGGTTCCATCTCATCGTATGATATAGGCAACACCGTCCATCAGCACACACCGCCAATGGTGGTCTATCAAGACGCAACGCCGACGACTGCAGACATACCGATTTCTGGTGGCCGAGCGAAGAAGGAGCGCTCTGATCGAGAACGGTCTGATCGGGAACGCTCCGATAGAGATCACCGCGAGCCAGGTGAAGGGCGGAAACACCGAGACAGAGAACTTCGGGAGCGAGATCTACGGCACAAGATTATACCGCCTGACGAAGACATGAAACGTCTGAGAGTGGAGTGCAAGGCTGCCATCCACAACGCTGGTCTGCTCAGCGAGGCGCTCGCCATGGCCACCGTCGAGGACCTGGAGCAGGACATCATTGTGGTCCGTGTGTCTGACACCGTTTTTTGACCCTCGATCCCTAAGATTCTGCAGGAATTTCACAAGAAATGCATCAGTTCTCAAGAACTGATCTTCACTCAGATACCGTGGGCATCTGCTGGTGCTGAACGGAGCAGAGCAGCTAAAGATGCACGTGATCGTGACTATCCGAAACGGAGGGCTGACTCGAACGGCCATGTGCCAGAGAAGGGAGATGAAGTTGCAGAAGTCACACCGGAGGAAGAGTTGCTGGCAGAGCTCTTGGCTGCGAATGAACAGCTCGTGGAAGCCCTGAAACAATTCGATGACTTGAAGCGTGTTGCATTAGAGCGAGAAACCGAAGATCGCAGTCGGAGAGAGGTTCGACTGGATCCCCGGGTGAGTCTTCCCTTGTTTGGTATATCTGCAACGGCTCAACTGGACAGGAACGACAACTTATCAACGAAGAGGGCACTCTATATCCAGATGCCCACGGCCAGGGGAGTTCGCGATCCCGGTCGCAGTCACCTATCCGCCATGCGTTACCGACTCACCCCAGTGCGGATCCCGCTCTGAACGCAGGCCAACATATCATGTTGGCCGTACCCCCAGCGCCTCAGGGTCCGCGGTCACCTGGTCTGACGCGCACACCGTCGCCAGCGCAACCGGATGGGTTCGCTCCCGTCGGGGCTGCAGAGCTCGCTAATGGGTATGTGGGCACTCGGGTCACTGGTCCCCGCGACTTGGGCCGGCCCTCGTTTGAGGACGGAGAGCGATGGCACGGCCAACCGCCGCCGCCGCCACCACCGCCTCAGGTGCATCAACCATCCCACGCCACGCCGCCGCAGACATACGCACTGCCACCGCACACGTATGCTCAGACGCATCCTTCAAACGACGAGCTTCCCGACGTGTTGCAGCCAAGCGCGAAAGCACTGGGCAAGCGCCGCGTGGAGCCCGATTCGGTACCTGCTGCGGACCCACCGTCAAGCTACAACTCGGACAATTTCGAGGACCGTCTGAGCGATTCTGAGGACGAAGAGTCCCCGGCCAAGTTGTGGCAGCATATGCATCACCCTGTGCAGCATTATGTGTACGATGCAGCAGCTGAGCGCACCCAGGAACGGCTCAAAGAAGCCCATCTGCAGCTCGTCCATTGATGTGTAGATTGTACCATTCTAACATTAACCAACTCATGTAATGCTCTCCGCTTTCATTTGCATTATTTATTTACACATGTCTCGCTGCTGGCCTCGCGTGAAATCAGTAGCTGTTTACACAGAAAAGAAGTTCGATATGCGCCGAAGTGGTAAGTACGTATGCACGGTGATAAATAAAGATTACTTGAGATCCTGTGGGGTATGCTGGATGTCGTGAGATGAAAGCAGCAGATGCGACTAGTGTATAGATGATGCAATAAAGTCCGCCCGAAAAGAATGTGTGCCATGCCATGCAGATGCTGATCAACCGTGAAGAGCCTGCTCGATGACCATGCATTGGGAGAGCAGCTGCATGATCACAGGTCGACCGCAAGACCTCTGAAGATAAGGAGTCTGCGATAGGTCAGATCCTATTTCTCGAACACGACATAAACCAAAGTCACGCACCTGGAGCAAAGCAGCTGGTGTCGGCCGCGACGCAGCAGGCTCAGAACACCTCGTCAGGAAGTCGTGGAACGCTGGCGGATACAGATCTGGCTGTGTCAGGGCTGGCCATCGATCTTCAGGCACCTGCGTGTCCGCGAACGGTGGAGTGGCCTCGGCAAGTTCCCAGATTGTGGCTCCGACAGACCAAACGTCAACTTTGAGCGGATCATACGCCCCGCTGCAAGGCATCAGTATCTAGGTCGGTAGTTGCATGGACGGACACTCACGTGCGAACCTCGGGGGCCTGCCAGTAGATGACCCCGACTTCGTCAGTGGCCAACGGTGACTCTTCACTAAGCCTCCACGCGTTCGAGAAATCGGCAAGCTTAAGGACGCCCTGACTATTAAGGAGCAGATTGTCAGATCGCACATCCCGATGCGCGATGCCGTGCTTCTGCAGATAGTCCAGTCCCAGCAGCATCTGCTGACCATCAGTCTCTGACACCCCGGTCACCAGGAAACACACTCACATCGTTCGCGAACCGAGCCATGACCCTCGGCTCTTGCAGCTGCAGCCCTTCTTCGACCAGACCAATGACATCAGCCAGACTGCGCTCCATCAGTTCCATGCGTATCCACAAGGAATCGTCAACGAGATCGACATATAGTGCATCCAAGCCGACAAGCTGCTCGCACCACAGCCCGCGCAAAAGCTCGCACTCTCGGGCCACGTCAAACACCTTCGGTGTTCCACCGGGTACGAGCGTGACAGACTTGATCGCAACTAGAACCCTCTCTTGCGCAGCAAGCTGGTCCAAGTCGCGCGTCTGAATGTGCGGAGGCAGCCTGAGCTTCAGGTGCGCTGCGTCTGGAACCAGCGCCGCAGCAAACACACTGCCCGATTCGCCTTCCGCGATTTCGGTCAGATCGGTGTAGAACTCCCGCGGGTCTATTTGCTCGTCGATAAATCCCCGCAGTGGAGCGACGGCATCCGCAACCCATCCCGCATATCGGAGTGCCGGCGTCACTGGTGTCGCAGCAAGACCAAGAGCAGTCAATGGGCCAGGGGATTCTGCCGTGGTCGTTACGTGAATGGTCGGGCGGTGATTCGAGGGTAAAACGAGGGAGATGCCAGCGCTACTGGCATCTGGGCTGACGTCCATCTCGCCCTCTGTAGGAAATTCATACCCATACTCATATCCCTCGTCTTCGCCGTCGTCGTCATAAATGTCATCCTCTTCATCCAAGACACCTCCAAACGTATCTGTTGTGCTGGTCATAAGAGCAGCCCGTCCATCCAGAGGTGCTGGCCTGTATTCTGAGGGAGCCCGGCTCTGGTCCGTGGGTCTCTGCAGCTGAGCAGATGCTTGTTGCTGCCGGCCTGCTAGCCTCTGCTGTTGAGCCTGTGCCACTTGCTCTTCCACCTCTCTCCTTGACAGTCCTTTCTGCATGGCTTCCCATTCTATCCTTCTCAACGCCTCCTCGGGGTCCTCGTCGTCGTCGTCGTCACCAGCATCGGCCTGGACACCAGCCGATTGAGCTTCAAAAGCCTTGATCCTTTGGGCATCCCGCTGCTCCAGAGCAGCTCGTTGTTCGTTCCGACTTGTCACAACGGGAGCAACCAAGGGTCGTTCCTTCTCTTTCTTCTCAAATTCCTGACGTTCCGGTGTCGCGCTGTCCAGTCTAAAGCCATTCTCTTTCAAATAATTGCGTCCTTCTCGGTAATAGTCCCGCGCCGATGCCTTAGAGCCTGTGGACTTGGGTTTACCAACATCGTCCTGTGTGCCAACGACCATCTTCCGTGACTCTCCTTCGTCGAGTTCTGTGACGGGTGTCTCAACCAGGTGGTCCTGGCTGTCCGATCCAGACCCGGACGAGGAGCCGAAGTGGGAGGATTGAGGAGAGGCAGGCGCGATAGAGGCCGACGGAGCTTTGATGGCAGGTGCTGAGGAAAACTATCAATAACATGAGCACAAGAGCATACCAACGACTCACCAACAGGGACAGTAGCAGCCACGGCTCTTCTCACGAGGTTTGCTTGATTGACTATGCCGGCGCTGTGCGGCACACCCAACATCGTGGAATCGCTCATCCCCGAATCTCGGTTCTCCCGGTCCCGTGAATCTTGCACGTCGGGAGACAACAGTGCAGGCGATGTCGGCGACAGTCGTGCCGTGCTTCGTTGTGTATCGTATAAGGGAGACGGTGGCAAACGCAGCATATCACGTTGTGGGGCGGATAATCGAATCGTGTTCCGATTGGGCCCCGATTCTTCCTCTTCGTCATCATATGCCAATCCGGTCTCACCGTCGCGGACAAAATCTGGTGTGAGCGGAGCGTTCGCTGAAGACGGGCTGCGAGCGAAACCAGCCAAAGTGGCCGACCAAGGTCCAGCGGACAGCACTTGATCTGACCAGGCATCAGCACCTTCGTCAAGGTCAAGACTCAAGTCCAGTTTGAGATCGAGAGGGGCCAGATTTGGCGCGGTTTTGGAGACTGGGGGAGGAGAGGGCGACCGTGATATTGGAGGAGAAGGGGAATACGGAGGTGTTAATGATCTCGAGAGCGGAGGTGACGCTGGTCTCGAATTTGATGGAGATTGCCTTCGTATGGCGGGTATTAGAGGAGCAGGTACTGGAGGTAGAGAAGTGGGAGAAGGGGGACGCGACTGAGTCTGGGAGTAAGCCGAGGTATTTCGTGAATGGGTCGTAGACAGCGAAACGGGAGAATAGGACCGCATCCCGTCAGAGATTTGTGTAGCTTGTGGTGACTCCGCCCGTTGCCTTGGCGGTGCAGCACGACCCTGATCGTATGCTCGTGGAGGTTGGGGATACTTCTGAGCAGACTTCTGAGCTTGGGAATCCTGTTGGTAGACCTTAGGAACCAGTGGGACGGGAACGGGCGACGAATTGGCCGAAGTCGAAGATCCCAACGATGACGCAGGCGTATGGGTCGGATTTCTCGATGCAGCTGGTCCTTGTGGTCTCGGTAACGAAGTGGAACGGGGAACTGGCTTGACAACGGCTACTGCAGGTGATCTTGGAAAGGGACGGTCCGCCATCTTCCGCTGCTGGATGGCTGCAATTTCCTCCTCCGAAAAACCAGCCTCCTGCAAAGACGTTGTCCAAGACGGCGGCAACCCTACAAATCCTTCATCTACATGGACATTATGAGAGAAGTTCCATGGCATCGAAATGTTCTCGTCGTCCGTCGGGCTATCGTGGTTGATACTCTTTTTGGACGAGGACGACGTCGAGGAGAACTTGAAGAGCCCTCCACGCTTGCTACCAGAGGCTGATGGAGGAGGCTGTTGCGGTGCAGCTCCGGATGGGAGGACCAAGGAGACTGCCGAAGCGTTGGTGGTCGCATACTGCTCTGGTGATAGAGGCGACTCGGGCGACAGGGAGGCCAGCGAACGATTCCGCGCTGCAAGGTACACCGGATCCTTTGGAGGTGGAGCAGGAGGATTCTTGGCCCCAAACTTGAAGACCCGTAGGGTCGAGAACCGCGACGAGGACGAAGACGGCTTTTTGCCCTCCATCGCAAGAGTGCGCCGTCAAGAGTCAACTAACGATGCACCGCCACAATGCGCTGCAACAACTTTGATTACCTCTTATAATTTACTGTGACTGGAATGTTTCCGTGCCGCTTCCGAAGACGATATCAGGTACTACTAGCTACAGTTGTAGTGGCCTGCGCCGCATACCATGATAGGTATTATGCGTATGTATGCGTAAAGCACTCACTCTACCGCCCTTCGTCCACCGAGTTTCAGCAATCGCAGCAACGATAAACTTATTCTCTTCACGAAGTGTTTATATACTTTGCGGAACGCCGAGCCGTTGGCGGCCCGAATCCAGCATCTTTATTGACCTGCAACACCTCTCGCCTCATCTGGATGTTAGCTGGGCCTTCCATCTGAAATTGAGCGACGAGAGCCGAACGGTGTGGCGAGGGCGCAAGAGCACGGGATGTGAGCTTCCGAAGCATGCACCTAGTAGGCTAGACTCGATTTTGAACAAAGATATTCAAGCTTTCGTCTTCGTCGGCTCAGGGGGCGGCACACCCCATTCTGGTGTCCCTTCCGGTCGCGGAACACGCTTCATATCCCAGTCTTCGTCGGGTTGGGCAGAGAGTCGCTAATTGAACACGTTTGAGAAAGCGAGACGTTGCTGATGTCCAGTACACTCACGAAATACTCTTCCCTGATGTCAAACTTCTTTCGACCGTGCTCGAGTTTGAGCTCCTGCTCCTTGGTGACCTGACCGAGCCGGACATATCGAGTGAGATGTCGTATGAAATGAATAAGAACTGACGTGCCTGCTTGACTTGTTTATCTCGGTAGTCATATTTGGTTTGAATAATGGCAGCGAGACCGTATGAAGAGCCTATCATAAGGAGGACAAAAGGTATCCCGAAGATGAGAGGCTGCCGTCGAACAAGTAGGTTGAGGCGGGAGGGATTGAGAGGCTTGGACCTGAAGACTGTCATGAGTAAGTGGCGGGGACCAAGTTTGTCGCATCATACATCATGTGGCAATGCACATATCTGTCGAACTGCATCCAACATGTGCGGTAGATTTAGTCTCAGACTCAATGTGAGTTGCTGGAGCTTATTTCCAAGTCTGCAACATCAACTCGTCTAGCGAGAGGAGATAGAACAGCTAGAAGGACATACTGCGTCAGTGAACGAATGGGAGCGCCGTGACGCATTCGTCCCACGATACAATATCGCGCCGCACACCCAAGCCCCTGTGATACGTCGGCGCTCGCCAGAAAGCCCCTTGCTTGTCATGTCCTCTATGAAGTGGGGTCTGATCCCTCACTTCAGTAAATTTGAAGACAAATCTCTGAATACGACGAATGCGCGCTCTGAAGTGTTAATCGAGGGAGGTGGACTGTGGGGCAGCATCAAAGGTTCAAAGCGATGCGCGGTCGTGTGCCAGGGCTACTACGAATGGCTCACCAAAGGCAAAGAGAAACTTCCCCACTTCGTGAAGCCGAAGGATGGACGCGTGATGCTCATGGCAGGTTTGTGGGATACTGTAGTTCTGCAAGGTGCGTTTCAAAGATCTCTCATGCACAGAATCCCATCACTTCCGAGTCACAGGGGAAACCGAAGCATTATGGACCTTCACGATTGTAACAACGTCGGCCAATTCTGCCTTCGCTTGGCTACATGAGCGGCAGCCGGTCATTCTTCACACAACGGAAGCACTCGATGCGTGGCTGGACACTTCTTCACACAAGTGGTCTGCGGAACTCGGTAAACTACTAGTTCCCACGACTTGTCCTCTTACCTGGTGCGTTCCATCCCGAATCACTTGGCCGCACAATGATAAACCGGCTTCCCAGTTACCAAGTGCCGAAAGAGGTCGGAAAAGTCGGCACAGAATCGTCAACCTTCATTCAACCTGTCGCTGAGCGGAAAGACGGGATACAAGCCATGTTTGCTCGCCAAAAGCAGGCTCAGCAGGGCACGTCACCCTTGAAGACTCCTTCGAAACGCTCAGCGCCTGAGGCACAAGACTCGGACGACTCAATCGAGATTTTGGAAGGTCCCTCGGATGCCAAAAAGGCGAGCAAAACCTATTTGTGATCCTATTTCATGCTCATGTTCTTTTCAAGGCCAAGTCTACACACACCACTGTAAGTTTCAATGATGCAGTTTTACCAATCATAATTGTCCAGAATGCAGACCAAGCCCTCCACCCCTGCCAAGTCGAGACGGAATTGAATATGTAAATCTACCTACAGCTACTTGTATTTGAGCGCCCATTGTATCATACCCTTCATGTATCGTTCTTACTGTGTTCATATATCCTCCATTGGCCCGTCCTCCTGCTGCCGCATCGCTTTTATCGCAAAGTGTGTCGGGTCAAAGCAAGGCGACAACCACGGCTGACTGCACGGCCATATTGAATTTGGCTTCTCGTTGCAAGTTCACTGGTGGCGGGGAACTTGCGATTCGCGAGGAGAGTTCAGAGGCTTGAGATGGATAGATTGAGCCTCGGCAGCAATTCGACATCAACTCCGTTGAAGTACCCAGAATGCATCCAACCCCAGAATGCTCGTCTTGAGCTATGCATACCAAGACCAAGGGACGCTATTATTTATAGAAATGGCGTCCAGCATTGCATTTGCAATTTTGATCCACGATGATATGGTAGTGGCCGATTTTTGTCTAAGAGCAACGGGCACCCAGGAAAAGTTGACTCCTGGGGGTATTAAGAAAAAAGGAGGTCGCCGCAAGATGTTTGAGATGACAGAACCAACAACTACATGAGGTGCATTGTGACTCGACTGCCGTCCAAGAATGTCTGCCACTGTAGATGATGGAATCGTCCTTCCCCGCGATCTGCGATGATCTGTACAGTGCGGGGTATCCAATCATGCGGGGAAACAATAAGATCGAGGATTTGCCAAATTTGTCGTTAATTTGATGGCCGTGACCAATGACGTCACGCGACGTGGGGCGTAGATCGACACATGTTCAAGGGTCCTGGACACCTTACTTTCATTGACACTCCTCTCACCCCATCCCTCATTGCTTGTATCCTCCATCATCCTCGATTATGTCGCCATCTGGAGAAACGTACATTGAAAAACGTTGGGGATCCCTCCTTGTATTTGACAGGCGAGCGACTCCGACAATTGGCGGCAGTCAAGCAGGTGCGCAATGCGCATCACTTGCCCTTTTCACCTGGAATGCTGACCGTCTCCTCCCAATACATCGTCCCTCTCTCATCTTCGGTGGAAACGTGGAACAGGATTCATCGGTCTGCTTGTCGGTTTCGGCGTTATCATCCTGGGCTCCTGTATCGCCATCTTCATCCTTCTACGTGACCACAAGACAACAAAAGCTCAGCGGCGAAACCGTTATGCTGCCAGATCCTCTCCAACTCGTCCTCGTTTCACATCTTTTGTACGCGATTTATTCAGCACGACGAATGGGAAGAAGACATGGATCCAAGCTTCGGATGATGCATGGACTGCTGATGAGGCGGAGCGACTGCGAGCCAGTACCAGCGGCGGCGAAATGAAGACTGCTACTCAGGATGAACCATTCCGGCCGCCTCGGTCCTTCCCATCGCGTATGAATTCATTTGCGTCTGAATCACAAGATGAAATGTCGGCGTACGATCCGGAGCCTACGATACGTTATGCGCCAGCGCCCCGCCCTGCATCCATTTCGCTGTCAACGATCGCACATCCTCGAAGTGCCTCGCCCGCATCTTCAGCCAGTGTCTTTCAACCGCATGTACGGTTCGTCTCTAGCGCGGCCGAGATCGGCAACTTGGAGGAGGAGAGTTCGTCTATTGGACACAAGGGCACCAATAAAGAACGTCAGCTGTCCGCGGACAGCCTCTCCTCTATCCGCACATTTGAAGGAGGGACCAAATTTATCGAAGGATTGTGATTTATTGTTGCTCCCATTTGACTTGAGTACTGTATCGGATACTGAATGGGCCTTTGGTACCTGTAACATCTATACTTACATTAGCTGGAAATGATACACGGCAATGTTCACAGCTTTCACGTCCCATTTATTGGGCACGTTTGGGCTGGACTGAAAGTAGGCTCATGTGGTCTGCATACGGGTCGCCCCCTAGAGGCATCGTTGATTTGTGAGTGCTGTCTGCTAGTGAGACCTGAGACGAGAGAGACGAGAGAGCCACTGGTGTCGATTCTTCACGACCTGGATTACGCAGCGGCCTATTGCGCCTGCATGTGAGGAGCCGGACCCATGCGAGATCGATGAACCATGGCCCCATCCGAGGTGCGATCATTGCAAGTGAAATGAAAGGAGGAACCGTGACAAAAATTGCCAGCAGCTAAGAGGATTTAGATGGCTTGCGAAAAGAGGAGAATAATCAGACATACCTGACCATAAGTGGCCGTGAAGGATTCATGCGTAGATCGTAGGATTAGAGAGACCTCAATGTTACAGATCCAAATGAGGTGAGGGATAATGATGGCAGTGTAGAAGTAGATGAATGGGTAACGCTGAGTGACTTTGCGCCAGATGCGAACCAGGGGGAATTTCCTCTTCTTAGCCCAGATGGATTTTCGGGCCCGATAGATTGCGATAGTCCACGGGATGACCAAGGTGAGCGCCATTAGAATGAGGAGGAATCCCGATCTCAGGAATAGTATGAAGAATACAGTGAAGAACAGGATTGTGACATGGTTGTTTGCAATGAGTGAGTCGCATGCGGCTTGTTGGAACGTGTACGTCGCCGAAGGCAGTGCGGCAAACACTAGGACAGCGATCCAAAGTGGAATTCCGACTAGCACCAAAGCACGGTTCAGAAAATGCCCAGGTCCGAAAACGACGTCCAGCCGCGTCTGCTTGCCGAAAAGACTGCGCAACACATACAGCACGAGGTATATGGTCAACGGCGACGCTGCCAGGGCGAGGGCAATGACGCAGTGCAGATGGGTGAGATTGTGGCCGATGATGGAGAAGATGGCGGCAATGATGAGTGAATAGATGTTCAGCAATTGTGCGTAGAATGACGATGTCACATCGTTCGGGGAAAAGAACAGCAATATCGCAGACACAAAGGATGTGAAGTACATCGAATAGCGCACGGCGGGACTTGCGACATCCGGATTGGGGCAATAACTGAGAATACAGAGATGAATCCTTTTCCGTGTGATAACAGGCAGAGCACCTACCCGAATCCGCACGAATCGTCAGGCGGGTTGAGGCAATACACATTCAAGTAAGCCTCTGGGGTCGTAATATTGAGGAAGTCGAGCATAGTTTGCGATGCAACCTGGCATACGGTGCTCAGGTTACTCGGGTCGCCGAAACATGGGTCACGATCAGGAAACTCGAAAGTAGGTAGCACATGAGGGAAAACGTCGCCGAAGGACATGAAGAGCAGAGCCTATCCACTATAGGAACTTGCGAAAGAAAAAGATGTAACCGATCACTCGATGACTCTTACAGCGTACATGACACGCGGTCCGGGCGCTGTTTTCGGGCGCTGGGAAGTTGCGCATGGACAGTGTATCCTTGGCGATTGATCGCGTTCATGTGGCTGACTCGTCGACAAAGTATATGCAAAGTAGAGCAACGCAAGTTCCAGCTTGGCTTTCGAACAAGTCTTTGTCGTCGCATTCGGAAGTTTATGTAGCCTTCTGCACGTGGGTAACCAACAGTCAAAGCGAATGAGATCAATTGATGAAATAATCGAGCATAGCCACCTCGGCAGATGCATCCACAACACCCTACCCCTTTTTGCAGGATGTTAACTGATAGACCTCCGTGAATCCGTGGCCATGTAACCGAATGTCCGGTTCTGGAATGGACTCCCAAAGCTTTCTTATGCCAGCGCAACATAGTAAGGTCCAGACTAGCTCGTCACGGGAATAGGGAGCTCACGTGCCATCAGACATTTCAAACTCCGACGCCGAGACGCTCCAACTGGCAACCCTTGTATCAATTGCCGACTGGGCTCACCGCGGTCCTCGTTGCTCAACGTCACCGCCGTGGTCTCGCATTCGATCGACGGACATCTATTTATACAAATCCAGCCAGGCAAGGCGCACTTAGGGCAACCACAATCGGCCCGCAACACAATCAAGATCGTCCGTTCTGAATCCCTCGAGGAAAGCGAGTTACATTCGGCTGAAATGGTGGCTTCACTGGCGGGTATGTTTCCGGCGTCATCGCACTTTAGTTCAGGGTTCCCTTACTGCTTGAACAGAATCGGTGCAGAGCGAATGTCAGAATGTCGTGATACATGGGTGGGTAGACTTGTAAGGCTTCGGGATGTCAGCGCCGACGTGTGTGTTCAGGTTTTGCGAACTCGAGGGCAAAGGGTGTCCATTTCATCATCCGTCGGTATGTTCCTGATAATTGCCCTGCATATACGTTCTCATTGCTGCTGTGCAGGTGCCAGTCGCGTATGTCCTATCCCTTGCCCACACTCAATGTCCATCTGACCTGGCATTCCGACTCACCATCTAGTTCCTTAGAATCGCCGAAGAAACAGGATAACGCTACTTCTTCCACAACACCAGCCAACAAGTCATCGACGTCCGTTCCAAAGTACTTCCGTCAATCTCACTCCGACGCGTCTAGATCTGTTAATGCGTACGTTCGCTCCATGAAATCTCCTTTGCTGTTGATGAAGCCACGTGAAAAGGTCAATGGACCTGCACGAGTCGAGTTCAGATGATTTCGATGACGCAAACGAGTACTTCGAGGCAGCTGACGGTCCGTACTATGTCCAGGCCCCCAGCTTTGTGCCCCAACCGGTGAGTAGATATCCGTAATCCCGACTTGATCATCCACGATTAGCAGTGTTAATCGAGTCAAAGCAGCTCAGTTACCGCCTCTATCCAAGCGCCGCCCCTACGGGATACGCTTCGGCTTCCGTAGACACGCACTCACTGACAACTTCCACCGAGTTGCGTGCATTACTACAACAACAGAATGACGACCCTCCCATGAATCCTCTTGGTTCGCTTTCCTGCTGGGATATCTGTATTCGAGTCTTAACTATTCCGCAGGCCTCAATGAGATGTCAGGCTATCATGCTCTTGCACCTCATCGTAGGATATCCAGGAGACACCCCTTTGTTGCAGATCTTTCTCAATGTCTGTTTGATTTCGTCATCCAATTGTTACCCACTCAGGTGCGTTGTGCTGTGGGCGATCATGGAAGTCTCAGTCAGCTAAATTTCCTGAAAGGAGGAGATGTCGGTCAAGGAAGATGTACGGAAGCTGTTGGAGCGCCTTATTCGCACCATTCAGCCGGACAGTAGACTGCTCTCGTTCGGGAGCACAGCAAATGGCTTCAGTCTTCGGAATTCAGGTCTGCTTTCATGACCACTGCTGCAAAACTGTTTCTGTGTGCTGATCAACCGCATCAGACATGGACCTGTGCTGTTTGATTGACACCGACGAGCGCCTTTCAGCGTCAAATCTGGTCACTATGCTCAGTGAACTACTGGAACGCGGTTCGTTGTGGTTTCAAGTACATCGCACGTCATTATAACCAGCCTCAGAAACCAAGTTCCACGTCAAACCTCTTCCCCACGCCCGTATCCCAATCATCAAACTCACTCTGGACCCGTCACCAGGACTGCCGCTCGGTATCGCATGCGATATCGGATTTGAGAATCGGCTTGCATTGGAGAACACTCGCTTACTCATGTGCTATGCCATGATTGACCCAACCCGCGTTCGCACATTAGTGCTATTCCGTATGTATCTTCTGAGCGAACAATCGCATGCGGTCGACTGACATATCCTGATCAGTCAAAGTCTGGAGCAAACGCAGGAAGATCAATTCACCTTACAAAGGAACCTTGTCGTCTTACGGATACGTTCTCCTGGTACTCTACTTCCTCATTCACGTCAAGAACCCACCGGTCCTGCCAAATCTGCAGCAGATGCCGCCTTTACGGCCTATCTCGAAAGAAGACACCCATGTCTCAGGATACAATACATGGTTCTTCGATGATATCGATCTATTGCGGACAAGATGGCATTCGGAGAACACCGAGAGCGTGGCTGAGCTGTGCGTCTTTTCTTGAGCATAGTCGTACGCCACTGACCATTGAACATCAACAGATTGATTGATTTTTTTCGGTACTACGCGAGGGATTTCACCTACAACACTGGTGTGGCTTCGATCAGAGCTGGACTCGTGAAAAAGACAGCCAAAGGATGGCAGAACGACGCAAGTCATAAGACTCCTCTCTGACATCTGCAACTAACCTAAATTTAGCTTACGAGTCGCTACCACGATTCACGAGAACGTAATCGGCTATGTATAGAGGTTTGTTCGATCCTCTTTTGGTCGCCATGGCTCAAGTGATATCAGGATCCCTTCGAATCGGATTTCAACGTCGGCCGGTGCGTCTCGAAGGATGGCATCTACACTGTGAGCTTCAAATTACATTTCGAATTTCATCTCATCTACCTCAGATCCGCGGTGAATTCATGAGAGCATCTCGGATATTGGCCGGCCGTCCGGAGCGTGCCGTCATTGCCTTGGCCGACTTGTGCGCAGAACGAGTTGACGAAGACCTCGTTTCCGCTCCACCGTCTTTCAATGTGCAGAGACCTCCGCCTCAGACCCCGTACTCTGTGGGCAGCAGCAATGGGCGGGCCAAAGCACTGTCCGGGCCAATCGTCACCTCCGCCAGCACGACTGCCAGCAACACAACACTTGGCCCCCCGCCCCCTTCCGCACACATGGCACCGCGGCGAAGCAAATGGACGAGTCCACCGCCAGCAAATGCGTCCAAAGATGCACACGCTCAGTTCGAATCGAATCTTGGGCACGGCCTGGAATTGGCAACGAGCTCGACCGGAGCACGGCAAATTTCAGAAACCAACAGCGAGAGTGCTTCCGAAGGAACTAGCGAAGTCTTTACAGACAGTGCCAGTGACCCGGGAAGTGATGTCGTTTCAGTGCGGTCCTTCACCGAGGGCGTTGCGATCCGTGACGATGAGGGACCTTCCATGCGCCGGCCGTCCTGGTATTCGTCCCAGCATCTCGATGTCGAACCTATACACATTGTGCCTGGGCGGAATCGCGGCCGCAATCACCGTGAACGACCAACATTGCCACCTCCAGCATGGAGCAATAATCCGGTAGCTTCGCGCCGATCTTCGTCTGGCCCACCGCGGATGTCATTCGAAACACCGCACGCCGTGCTCTACCAGACTTCCCCGCGGCCCAGCCCCCATTCCAGTCCACAACCGAATATATACCCTTCGCCCCATGCCCAGTTCCCTACATTTCTGATGAACAGCAACATCATAGGAATTGGAGGTCCTCCAGATGTATTCCCCACAAACCACCCACCAATATCCAGTCGAGAACATACCCCTGTGCCTGCAGCGGTTCCGTCCGGGCCGAAGCCTCCGTCGCCGACTTGGACACGAGTCGTCTCGCAGCATTCTCGCTCGTCGTCACTCGTGACCAGCACGCCAACGCCGAAGCCCCATGCTGACCCTGTATTCTCCCAGCAGCAACAGCAGCAAACAACCCGTGTAGTACCATCCATCCATCCGCTTCTGTCCTCCGGGTACGAGACGTCGGTGTCGAATTCCCCATCACCTGAATGAAGCTGGCACTTTGCGGACAGTCAATGTCCAACCACGGTATATATTTTCACGCCGTATTTCGTTCTGCATCTTTGCTGTTAACGCTGTATATGCAATCCCTCTGCATATCCTACCTATCATCTACCTAGCTATTACCTAGATTTCGAATGCCATGCAGTAATCCGGACACCTTGGTCAATATGCGCTGACTTGCTGCAGAGGCGGCACCCCATAAGGGAATACCTCCTTGAAAAGGGCCGGGTAATGCCGTTCCGCCACATCAGGATGGCTTCTGGAGCGTTTTGAGACATGTATGTTACACACCAGAACGAGTATCAACACGCACTTGACCCGCCCAATAAGATTGACTCGTCCCGATGGTTCCCGGTCAAACTCAGTGAAGTTGACCGCTGTGTTACCGATTCAGAATCAAGATCAGCCCGAGAACGACAAATCTGCGTACAATCAGTAGCCAGGAGCGTCCCACGGGAGTCTCGCAAAGCCAGAACTTCAGGCGGAACTGCCAACCGATGAGTGAACCAGTTGTCTTGGCCGCACAAAAGTCTCACATGTGAGCACGTGTTCTGTGATACGTGTGTCGAGACCTATGTTCTGGAAGAACGGCACGGAGTACCGAGGACCGGTTCCGCCGACGGGTGAGATCACGCGGTGGGAGGTAGCTCGAGCGAGTCCCTGGGTCGCAAATTCGAGTGCTTGGCAAGGGGCATCCTTGCGTCAGCTCGAGCCATTAGTAGCCGTGCATGCTCACCGCGACCGATGTTGACAACAAAGGTGCCTGGAATAGGCGGCACATCAATCCACTCTCCTGCGAGATTCTGCACCTGCAGGCCTCGATGGTCAGAGACTTGGAGAAGCTACGCTCGAGATCGGCCTCCGAAAGTTGTAGACAGAAATGAGGACGGCGCACGAAAGTAAGGAATCCAGCATCGTAATGTGGCCCGACACCCTGTGATTCGTGCTCAGTTTGTGGATAGGCTACGATCTTGCCTCGGTGCTGCATCAGCTTGGGCACGTCGTAGAACTGATCGAGCGCGTCTGCTGGGAGTCCCAGCGCTTCTGATAGAAGCCGGCTGAACGCATAACTGAGATCTTGCACCTGGAGCAGATAGCGTTCCATCGCATCTTTAAATCCTGGAATGAGTGTCTCATCTGGCCACTGCGGCGTCTGAGCAACGTTCCGAGGATTTATCGACACACACACACCTGAGAAGGACCCCATAGACTCCAATAATCGGGGTCACCTCTCCCCTCGACCGCTCGACACTCATGCGGCGTCGCAATATCAAACTGCTCCCTCCAGTCAGTCCGTCCCTTCGTGAACTCCGATCCGAGCTTGTTGTAGCCAAGGAAGTGCTTGCTGTTCACCATCGCGATCCGGTCCTTTTCTTCCTGCGGCAGGGAGAACAGCTTGGGGACGAAGGGCAGGATGGCTTCGGTATCGACGAGAGAATTAGAAAGGTAGAGGAAGCCGACATTGATCAGGGCATGCTGTAGTTCCAGCAGAAACTTAGGTTTAAGTTCTGGCGATAGAGTTTGAGAGTAGTCGAGAATAGGTACAGTAGTGAAGTTGGACATGGCAGTTGGCGAAGAGAAGACGGTGAGAACACCCTATCGCGTCATATGACGCGATATGCTTGAGAGTAGATGGCAGGTCGACTCTATTGTAGTTTCCTTTGAAGATTCACGCAAGGCGAGAAGGCGGGTATCCGGATGATACCATCGACTGGCAATGACCGAATAAAATGTTGAAGGTTGACAGTCAATGGAGAAACGCGGTCACGTGAAATCAGCTGGGCCGCGTTTGGTGACGCTGTGAATTCCTCATGGATGATGTTACAACAAATGGATATTGGTGACTACAGACTGTCCAAAAAGGAACTCTTGGCAGTGATTCCTGTTTTTATCGTAGGAGACCTTCCCAACTGGTTTACCCGTTCCTGTTTCAGTCGCTTGGCCTCGGCGATGAGGTTTTTCGGGCTGGGATCCTCCATGTACACAGGCTAGCAATGTGAAATTATAACACAAAACGAGAAGAAGTCAAAGCAGAGACCCACCGTCGAAATCATCGTTTTCAGGTCCTCAGTTTTGATGTTTTTCAGATCGCTTGCCTTGATGTGGATCTTCGGACGCGACGACAACGGGGTGGTCAATGCGGCCTCTGAAGAAGATGATTCTAACGCAGGAACCCCGTGATCGAGCCACTCACCTAAAGTAGCAGGCGAACTAGGCATGAATGGATAACTGGCGATTTCGATGACGTGAGGAAGACTCTTGGGTCGATTCTCGACATTGGGATCTCGCGCATTCAAGTTTCGAAGCTGAAGAGAGTTGTATCAGCATCCCAAACGGGAGTGTCGATTACCGGTTCACCATGGCATGAGAGTACACTCGTCCAAGCGAGATTGTGACGGCAAACGATACTACAGACGTCAGTCAGCCTGGACGGTCGCAACAGCGCAGAATGCGAGCAAACTGACAATTTCTATGGTCTTTGTCAACCACGAATCTAGAGAGGAGCATGAGCAATAGGGTGTGGAATCCACCTGCAAATTACCCACAGAATTAACGCGGCAAGTGAAAATGCTACGCCAGCGACGCCAGATCGGAGCAACAGGGAACAAAAACGTGGGAATCTGGGATATGAGCACAACGAATTGCAACGAAGGAATTCAATCACCCCATGTTTCGCGAAAAATGGCGAGAGACGAGAGATGCGAGAGCGACCAAGACATCCGCGGCAAGGGAAACGGCCAACCAAAAACTGCAACACACGATCTCAGAGATGGGATCTCTCGAGCCGCTAAAATGAACGTACAGAGTTTGGAAATGATGGTCGCTGAACACGAATAAAGATTCAGTGATACGTTGTGCTATGAGAGCGTGTGCAAGAAGCACTGTTCCGACGATCTGATAAAGCGTTGAGTGGCAAGAGATCCTCGTTGGCCTGGCTTACCGAGGCAATAGTCGAAAGTACAATCAAAAGGAATGGAAAGCGATTCTTAGTGCTGGAATTATACACTTAGCTGCAGGGAACGATTATGAAAAGAATTTGGCACGTACAGTCGCAAGTAGCGGACACCGAGGTGAGCTCGCGAGACCGTGCCCGAGACAGTGGTAAGAATCACGAACACCGGAACAATCTGAAGGCTAGCTTAGTGGCCGCTGTACATGGTCAATGGAGGCGCTACATACCAACAGGCGGTTGGATAGGAAAGTCTCGTCGCCCCAATGCGTTACCAAGTTCTCGATCATCGAATGAGATGAGATCATTCTCCGTCGCAGAGTTGGGTAGCTCACAAGGTATACCATCCCATCGGTCGCAGCAGTTGCTAGCGTGTCGGCCGCTAGAGCCAGCAGAACACACACTCTGACAAACAATCCGTCTTGCTTGAAATATCGGAAATACTTGACCGTCTGTGTCGTTCCAATCGGCTCCCCGCCCTCTGAGATATACGGAAACAAGCGAACTCACCTCAACGAACGCGAGAATATAGAGGAACTGCCATGGCGGTCAGAAGAGACTGGGGATCCATCAATCGAAGTCACATACTGAATTGACATAGGTGCCGATGAGCAAAGCTCTGTAAGATGGGCGATCAGCGCGCTTCCCAAGAGCTCGGTTGGCAGAGCGCGCACCCCAACATCCTGTCCTGCACCATGTTGAGAGTCGTCATCGCCGAAGATTTCAAAAGAATGTGGGGGGGGAGGAGACAGAGGAGGAAATGAGGAGGAAATGGGAGGGAGAAATAGGTTCACGCTATTGTCAACGGCGAGAAACTGTGGTCATATCCGGCACTGGCTGCGATTGGGTTTGATTTTAAGCAACTACCCTCGATTCCAGATCGAATTCTTGGTTGTTACTCTAAACGTAATTTAGGACGTCAGGTTTACTTCCGCCGCTCGGGTTGGCAACGAGTGCGGTAACGACGAGGCGGAAGGCAGTTGGGGACATGTTGAAGACAGGAATGACCGAGTCCCGGGCCGCGCGCGCGGTGCCCAATGAAGAGTCGGACCCGGATCAGAGGGATCGGCGGGCAGTGAGTATTTGAATGTCGACAGTGTCCAGGTGATCTTGAGCACTGATATCCGGTGGAATTGGGATTTTATTCGCCACGTAATTGCAGTCGCCGCCAGAGAGCGCTCCTTTTCCTTGATTCGAAGATGCTTGGAGAGCGGAAGCCAGGATTGATTGATTGAGATCAGATGGTCAAGTAAGGAGTTACAAGATAACAAAGCATACATAATCAGATATCTTCGTGGTCGTCCGCCCCGGGCTTTCCCCAGCGAAACATTTGAGTGGGGCCGCCTTGCCACTCTCTAACCCGATGAGCAGAAAGCAAAGAGACGGTCGAACGATCTGTGCCAACAAAACCTGTGCTCGCAGACTGGATAGCTGCATCAATGAATACGGGGAACCAAGCTCCATGTATTTCACTGGTCCACGAGTGATCGACACGGTCCCAGCCTTGAGCCTGTACCTGGCGCCACCAGGATTCGTCGGTCTCGTCGCTGGTCATGATCACGTGTTGTACCTCGATCCCCTTCGTCCGCCAAAGCCGTTGCCGAATCTCGGCAACGCGACGGGCAATTACAGAGACCGGCGCGAAGCAGTCCTCCCGATCGGGCACCTCGCACCAATTGACAAAGTCCCCCCGTCTCGCATGAACCGAGATGTACGGAGGAATCGGCCTTGCACGCGCAAGACCTAATGTCCGCCTGACATATCGGGCTGCGAGGGCTTCAATGCGAGGGTTCCAGTGAAGATGCCGCCCGACGAATCTCCAAGCAGTGCTGTAATCGTGTTCCATTTCGTGAGGCTGTGGGCATCGCTTAGCAAGATTCTTCAATAAAGACCGACGGACATTACCTCGAGATTGGTTGCCCAATAAAGATTATCAAAACATAACAGCTGCTCATCCGGCGGGAGTGAGGCATGCAACAGAGGTGACCTGACCGGCGTGGTCAGATGTTCATTGCGTTGTTCGGGAAACCCGAGCGACATGAGAGAAGCGAATCGCATATCTGTACTCTGGGGATTGCCAGGGTACAGCTTGATCGATTCGGGTGCCGTTGTATACGAGATGTCTAAAAAAATATTCGAACGAATTTCCATAGACCAATAACCAGGTTCATACCGAGCTTCATTCTTTCCGGGGCTAGGGTCCAATGTGGTCCCTTGTTTGCCGGCGAGACAGCTTCCCAGACATTCCAGCAGCCCAAGGTGTCGATCTTTGTACTCCCAAGATCCTGTGCTTGGGGTTTGACGACGAGCACGACGTGAGAGGGGATCGTTGCTCACTTTGATATCTCCCCACTCGAGAATCGGTTTCCTAATGGCCTTCTCCAATCTCGCCACATCGAACACATCCCCGAAAGCAATAACAGGACCCGTTTCGGACTGACCGACATGGGTCGGGACGAAGTAAGGGATGACCGGGACGCGCTCCGTTAGTATAGACAGATAGATTAGATTCATCTTCAGGAGATTGAGGACCGGAGAGTAACGAGATGGAAGGAGTTATGACACGCACATATAGCATCACATCGTTAGCTACAAATGGTCAGCATACTGAAAAGAGCCGCAGAAGAAACGCCGCAACTGAATCCACTTCCAGGGAACGACAATATGTATTTGACGTCGGCACGCAAGTTATCTGTACGTCTAGACGTCAGTCCACGGTGTTTTGAATTTGGGAATCCAGTGAATTATCACCTTTGAACGATGCAGTGGGAGCCCCATTAACCAAAACGTAGTCCTCTTCTACAGGTGCAACCGTTTCCGGCACGGCTGTTACAGTGACTTGCGGAGAGTGGATGGTGGTCGTCAAGGTCTGCAGTTTTGTAACGGTTACGGGCACATGAATGGGTTGAATGGCGTGCATGTGTGTATGCGCAGTTCGCTCTGAAGGAACGAAGCATTCGGGCTCAGGCAAAGAGTGTTTGGATAAAGGAGTGGAGGACAATTGGCCGATATAGAATGTGATAGAACTCGCGAGAACGATAAGTACGATCAAGCGAATGCGTACAAGAGGTGTGCCATTCGGGCTACGCATGTGTTGAAACGGAAGAAAGAAAGTGTACTGAATATGGGAAACCTGACAGCATCCTAGACATATCATTCTTCGTGTGACAGACGATCCTTGATTGTCAGTTTTTAAATTACGGCAGTAGCCTGAGTTTTGACCACGTCACGAGACACCCGCGAGTTGAGCTTCATGGAGACTAATTTGCATGGCAGGTCGGTAGGTAGGTAGGTGGGTAGGCCGGGAACCGGAAAGGTCTCCCCAGCTCAACCTGCGGAAAGCTAGATCACGAGTACATTTGGATTCTGACATACAACAGAGAATAGATATGGATACAGTCAGTTACAAGTACAAGACGAACGCAGGGCATTATGGCGAATGGATTTGAGTTGCAGATGTCCACGGGGATACTTGAGGGCTGGCTGTTCCTCCGCTGGTGAATGTTGGCGTGTTGTTTTGACTGGGCTCATATTGGAAATGCTCACCAGGAGTGAGGAGATAAATTCCAATACTGCGTGGGAGAAGATGCCGGCGACGCTTGATAAGAGATGCAAGAAAAGTCTGGGAATTTGTTCCAGATAACGGACATGGAATCGCAGAGGAAAGCCTACCCGGGTGCCAAACAGATTTGCATGACCTGCAGAGCAATCGATCACAGTGAGGACATCGTATGCAGGTCCTCTGCGGGGAAACGCCGCCCACAGTCGGCGCTTCCTGGCTATCGAATGGCTTTTTGCAGCCATCATATGCACTGTAATCCATGTATTCGAGCTCCGTGTGAAAGCAGGAAACGAAAACAGACCATTGCATGACACGGAGAGAAGCAAGGAACTGGGCGTGGTTCCACTCGTCCATATTAGACTCGCCCAGCACTACTCGCGCTACCGCATCGTTGATGAGACTCAGGCGTCCCGCTTGTTTGGACTGACAAGTCTTCGGCCGCCTCGTCAGCTTCCAATCCATTCGAGACATGCAAGGCACTCACAGGACAAGGGATGGGAAACTCAGGATTCCCCACTCGCGGCACCTCCGGTGCATACGACGGGAGGTTGGTCCCGTACATTGCGGGATCAAATGCCATGTTCAGGCCGTGATATATTGCCTGTGCAAGGCAGGCCTGGGGACCAATCAGCAGATTCCCATTAGGATCAGCGCTCGACTGACCCCACAATGTACATGTCGGCACGGTTCGAGAGCAATTCCGAACGGAATGCTGTCCGAAAGCCTGTGCTCGGAGATGGGCGACACATTTGGGCTATTCAAGAATGAGATGTGTCGAAAGTTGGGACTGTCTCGAATCGACCTCCGAGTGCGCTGCCAGGGATTGGGGCAGATCGTGCACGGTTCCATACAAAGACGGCATTTTGGCAAACTTGATTTCTTCTCGGGCGTGCAGTCGACTGAGCGATGGATTATGAGGCCAGGATACGCTGCACGGCTGGTTGGGACGTACCGCTAACAGACGACCCCGAATCTTGCGTGCCCCGAAGTGTATCTTCGCTCTCTCTTCCCAAGGCTTCCAAAACTGCACGAGCCTCTGCTTGTTGTGCTTCTTCTTCTTCTGTCAAAACGCGTTGCTTCTCGACGAGGGCCGCCTGCGTCTGGCGCACCCATTGGCGCTGTTGATCATAAACACTGACAAAGTCTTGCAAGGCTTGCGCGCCTGGGGGAGCAAAGTGACCTTCCTGTTGGATTGATCTCTCAGTAACAACAGCATGCGTCATTGTCACCGGACACACATTCTTCATGAAGGCCTTGTACCTCTTCAACATCGCGACAAGGTTAGAGATTCCGGGGAGGGAGAGACAGTGATCGCCTCCCGTGCTGGTCTAAGATCATCGAAATCTTAGGTGGCGGGGCGGAAGAGGCTGATAATCTCTGCCGCCCACGAACGTGCACTGCCCTGATAAAGCCACTAGTCTCGTAATTTCACCTGACGGTGACACCGGGTCAAGAACGTGGGGATGGACGGGCCGCGGCGAGCGGCGAATGTCCCCGGTGGTATGTTTTGTGTCTGTTGAGGTTTCAAGGCCCAAGACCCGACTTCGACCAAATAGGGGACTGGCAGAGAAGAAACAATGACATAATATGTCATCCGGCACAGCCGCCATGAAATGTTTTGTACAGTTGGATGAGTACAGGTAGGTCGAATGGTAGTATAGGCAGTGCATAAGATATCGGCAGATGTTACAGACAGATAAGGAGTGGATCCGAGATGGTCAGCGTGAGATGGATCAATGTAAAGATTGAATCAGCGGCGTTCTCTGACTTCGAGAAGATTCTGTTCCTCCCACACCTTGCATCCCACACCTGGAGACTTCAAGAAGGAGCACAAAGAAGAAGGACAAAAGTCGCCTTACCTCCTTTACAACGATATTTCCCTTTGTCGTGTTCAAAGTCAGCGCCACAAGTGTAGCAGAACTGTTTCATACGAGTCAGCGCCCTTCATTATTCGACGCCGGGAGACGTACGTGGTGTTTGCAGATGCAAGTGATATGACTGGGAGGCAGTTCAACAGCTATACATCAGCAAAGGATAGGAAACATACTTGCAGCCGAACTAAGCAAGACGTCAGTCAGAAGGAATGTTATAATCAGTGGAAGGCACCGCACCTTGAGCTCGACCATAGCCGAGCACTGTGCATCCTGTCAGCTTGAGAGCGAGGGAAAGACACGGCGTACTTTTGGACAACGTCGCCACTTTTCCTGCTCGGCCAGATTGGCGAATGCGATGTCCTCGGGAGCACGCTCTGCGATTGGCAATGCTTGATACGCCTGGCACGTCAAATCTGCGATGCGAGTAAGTACAAAACCCATGACCGAGATGGTGCAAGTTGAGCTCACTCTCGTGCCACAAAGACTTGCAAGCCTTGCAAAGTGAGCCTCGACAGCGTGGGCACTAAGGTCACATTTGATGAGATTTTGACCTGGCACGCAGATGATCAAGACGAACTTGGACCAACGTATCAGCATGTTCCACACCGCTGGGAGCAGGGGCCACATCATCCGCATCGAAACACTCGTCGCATCCTTTATGCGGGCTTGCAGAGATGAAAGTTCGTAGTTCCAAACACGAGAGAGATGACGCACCAATAAATGAGATTCAGCGAGGACAAGAACCGCGCGTGATTCCACTCGTCCATATTGTCTTGGCCCAACACCAGACGAGCCGTTACGTCGCTGATTTCGACGGCCTCTTCCCCAGGCTTGACTTGACACGTCTACCACGTATCTCAATCATGATACGTATTCGGGCAGGCGTGATGGATAGATGCAACGTACGGGACATGATATCGGAAAGTCTGCGCGTCTACCTGGTTCCGCGAGCTTGTTCTCTTTCAATGCCGTCCCATAGAGCGCAGGATCAAAGGCTATGTTGAGGCGATGGTATATCGCTTGAGCCAGACATGCCTACATGGCGTGGGGTGTCGGCGCGTAAACATTCGAGGGACCGCACGAGACTCACCCCACAGAAGTAGTGCTTGCAAGTTGCAAGTTGCATTCCATGGAGAACAGGCTTGCGGGGTACGCGGGGTTGTCGATCACCTTCCTCCTCGTCGCCAGAGTCATCCGAGAGCTCCGCCATCATGCGTTCACTGTGCAGTGAGTTACGACGTGTCCGGCAAAGTTCCGGAGTTGTAACGCACGTCTTGGCAAGTTGCCATGGATTGACGGAAACCTGGATATGCTTGAAGCACACAGAACATTTCGGACCCTTAGGCTTGGGTGGTGGAGCAGCAGGCGCTGTTCCAGCTGCCAGTTAGTACGAGAGAGGCGGAACTCTAAGTACGGCGCACGAGTGAAGGTGTCCGTCAGATTCAGTTGTTGTTTCTCGAGCTGTCGCAGCCTCATGAGCTCCCGCTTATTCGGATCTACCCTATCGTCGAATTCTTGTACATAGTCTCGCAATGCTTTAGAGCCGGGAGGCTCAAAGTTCCCTGTCTGGGTGGTCGTGTGAGCGCAGATTTTGCACGGCAGTGCTGAGGCATACATTGGACATGCAATTGCCCATTGCTGCCAAGGCCCCGAGCACAAAAGGGAATACGAGGGATGTGGGTGAATGAGATGCGACAAGAAATCTCTTCCCATGGCCTCAGGGCCTATAAGGCTGATCCAGTCACAAGCGGGTGACACAGCCTACTATAGTATCGGTCGGAAAGGGATTCCAAGCACGAACGTGCCTCTGTTCAGTTAGGTCCGAAAGCGGTGATTCATGACAGATGTCGGCAAGCAAGCGGACCTGACTCGATGTCAGAAATACCGACTCAAGAGACTTGAGTGAGCGGCTGTATCAAATAGATAAGCGGCGAGAGCGACCTAACGAGCGACTGCAAGGAACAAGGAAAGGGGTTCCCAAGCCCATTTGATTGGCGATCAGATCCAACTGCTTTGACAGTTTCGACAGTTCAGCGTTCTCAAACATATCGGCGTCCTTTGTCTTGTGGCTTGTCACCAACCAGACATGATTGACGGATTGCCCATTTTTGAAACTTAGGGAAAGTCCAAGCTAAAATTATGTATTTCACATGCGAGATTGATACAAGACGTCGATATAGAGGATAATATAGTCAACATCAATGACGGATGCGTCGAACGCGCAGCGGCATATTGTCAGAAGGTTCTGAACAATCCAGTGAGATAGACAGAGAGACAGACTCGAGACTCACTCATTGTGATAGCGGCTGCTGGATGCGCGATCTGTCCCGAGTACGCAGGACTGAACTCAAAATTATAGACCAAGGCACTACGAACGGATCAGGACCAGTGTTCGGGTCCTGGATTTTGCTCACCTTATAACCGCCTTCATCTCACTTACTGCCATTGTTTTGCCGATACAACCATGGGGGCCGGCGATAAATGAGAATTGGGAAAATGTCGCGTTGTAAGCTTTAGGCAAGTCGAGCCAGCGACCTGGGCGAAACCTGGTTGGACATGAGCCGGTCACCCCAGACCCCTCGAATCAGCACCCACTCGTCGGCATCTTCGCCCCATACTTGTTTCCAAGTGTTGATGACTCGGATCTGAGTGCTTTAGCAATCGAACGAACTCGTTGAGTCTATTCCGGAACTCACCGGGAACTGGATGACAGTACCTTCCGGCACTAACACACCCGCAACATAGTCGGTCTTTGCTGCCTTGCGCATTGTCAGTGGAACAGGCGGAAGAACGCGCAGTCCCTCGTTCCTGCATCGCCTCGTAAGGAACAACTAGAAGTTGGGTTTCATCACATACACGACACAGTCCAGCCAAGTCAGACTTTTCAGCGTGCGGTAATCTGGACGAGGATTCAAAGCATAGATGTGAGTTACTTCTTCGCGAAGTTTGTGCTGGCTCGCTGGATCATTGGCTAGAAGCCAGAGAGTCTACGATCGTGATCAAGAACCAGAACGCAAAGAAAGCAGCCGCCGTACCCAGGTGATTCCGGTGGCAGTGGTCTCATGTCCAGCAGCAAGGAAGGTCAGAACTTGATCGACCATGGCCCTATCAGACATCGCATCGGCCCGGGGATTGGCATCCAATTCTGCCTTTCGCTGACGAACAAGCAGAGACATGATATCCTTCTTGGTGCTGGTGTCATCCGGCGACACACTGAGATCTGTCGTTTTCTCCAGTAAAAGCTCCCGAGAGATTCGACGGATCGTGTGCAAAGTTCCGACAAGCGTGTCCAGCGCTGAGAGGAAAGGGATGTATCGGATTAGATGACGGTGCTCAAACATCCAATCAGTCGTCAGCAGTGTCTTGACGCCCGGGATTGCTATGACTGCGATGAGCTTCGCGAGGTTGACTCCGGACTGAAGTGAGAGGAGGCCTTCAAAAGCGACCGCTAATTCGTTGTGTGGATTGTGCAGACAGTCAGGTTCGTATCCGAAGGCCGTATCACAAATAATGTCCAAGGTGACTTTCCCCACTTGACATTGAATCAGCCAGATGTGTAGAGGGATATCTCAGACACAAACTCCATTCATAGACCATGAACACTTTGCCATCGGCAGCAGCAGGTTCCTGCTCAATTTCTTGAGAGAGAAGGGTACGAGGCTTCCAGACCATGAGTCTTCGTAATTTGGTGCTGTATTTATGTGATCGATACCTTTCGATGGGTCCATGATACATGTCCGCCTCTGAACCATTGAGCTGGAGTGACGATATTGTTAAAAGATACTTACGAGCCATAAGATTGGCGATGGAGAAAGCCGGATTCATAGCTTTGCGCAATGACTTGTGTTCGTCGCCTGTGATTGTCAGAAGACCATACCCCGCCACAAGCCCGAGAACGTCTCGCATGAATTGAGGGCGGGGGTAATCCAACCAATCGTTCACGAGTATCTCTTTCAAAGCTTGGGTTTCCAGAACGACGAGCCGTTCGTCCCCAAATAAGCCGGTGAATCGAACGAAAGGTCCATAGGCGGCAACCCATTGCTTTTGGGGGATGCAGGTTTCCTCTTTCACGATAGTGAGATAGTGGCCCAGAAGGGGATTTCCGAGAGGGGCCAGGGACGTGACGGAGTGGAGAGAAAAAGCGAGGATACAGCAGGACCCGATACAGCAGAACATATAAGCCGTAAGCTATCCGAAGATCGTATTGATCAGCCCCTCCGCTTAGATGCGGTCAGACAACGTTACCGGCAGCTGAGAACGCAAGAAACGTGCCAGAGACACGACTGGGAGTTCGGGGAGGCTGCAGCAGGTGGTAAACATGGTTAACGACAAGTTAAGAGACCCTGAGAAATTCGAATATCATATGCATGTCAGGGAGTGCTGTTTGTGGAATCAGCTGATTCTGCGACCTGAACGGATGCAGTTGACCGGCGCGACGGGAATACAATGGAACTGTCTACGAGCCTCATAAAATCGGAGATGAGCCCTTACATGCCGAGAGAAATGACTGACAGATAAGGCTGTGATGTCCAGATAAGTG